CGCCAACCAACAGGACCTCCGTCTTGTCTGGGTTGAGTTTCAGTTTACTCAGTTTACACAGCATGATCCCCAATATATCAGGATGTCCTGATAGTCATAGAATAGCAAGCTGGTAAAAGGCAAGGTAATGGTACCCTGTTGGACTTTGACTGGAAAGACCTGAGATTGTATGAAAAGGTGAAGGGGGGAATGTCCCCAGACTGCAGAAACCACCAGCATTCTGAGGGATTCTGTGTTCCAGAAGGAAGGAATGAGGAAGAAACATTTGATCTCAAAGTAAAATAAAAAAAAATCAGTTCTAATAGTTTTTCCTTTACCTTTTGTGTGATTAATGAGTCATAACTGCCCATTCAAGACCAAGCCATTCCACAATACCTTTCAGCACAACAGAACTTCCCAACTGTCAGAGCACTACAACAATGGCACCAATGGCCTAGGGAGGTTGTGGGTTCTCCCACGCTAGAGGCATTCAGGATGCGGCTGGACAGCCATTGAGAGGGATGCTTTAACTTGGAATCCTGCATCAAGCAGGGGGATGGACCTGACGGCCTTCTTGGCCCCTTCCGACTGTACTAATATATGATTCTATGAAAAGTATACTGTTGCTGGGAAAAGCCATCCTTGCTCCAGCTATTACAAAGATTCCAACTAAGCTTTGAAGGAATGAGGATTTGACGAATGGTGCCAGAGAGATAGTACATAATATTAATGTCCCTGCTAAACGGCAGACCAAATCTGGTCCACCCGGGGCTCTATAGGGTTGCCCCTCACCACCCCAATTGCTGTGTCGCCTTTTCCCAGAGTTTCTTGTTACATTCCTAGGACCACAGCAGTCCAGCTTCAATGCAGTTCGCTCTCTTGGGGGCAGGGTCTTCTCAGCAAGCTCAAGGGTCCTGAGTTGATGTCCTCTTCAATCGTCCAAGGAAGGCTGGCAGCAACAAGAGAGGAAGGCCCAGGAGTGCCCTAAGTTCTAAGTTCTCTTTTCCAGCCACCTTGGTCTTGGGGAAACTCCTGGAGGGAGGAGAGAGAGATGTAAGAGTCGTGTATGATCAAATGCAGTTAAGGGCTGAGCTGCAGGAAGGAGTACTAAATGTGCCTTTCTCTTGCCACTTCCTACAGAATAAGGGGATGGACCCTTTTGAAGGGCACAGTGTTGCCTGTTGCACCTCGGCTATTGGATTCAGACCCTACACTTGTGCTGGTCACTTAACTGGCATATTGACAGGTTCCAAATAATTCCATGGTGGGTTATGCACCTTGACACACTGCAGTTTTTTCTTACAATTAGGCCAAGAAAGGAGAAGGAGGTGGGAGCCTGGAACCTCTCTCAGCAGGGCTGCGCAATTTCCAGGGCTAGAGGGTAACAATGATTACCCCCAGGCCCTACCAGGAGCTGTACCCCTGCCATTCAACCACTAAATATGCCATTACAATACAGCAGCAGGGCAAGAGGCTATTTTTCTTTAAAACAGCCCTTTTTGTTGGTGCCATTGTACCATCAAATTGCATGGCAAACTGGAAATCTGTGCTTTGAAAGGATGCGTCCCACCACTGAATTTCAGTGACACAGTAGCATGGACAGTGGGGGCCATGAAATCACTGTGCTTGAATACAACACCAAAGTATCTTTGCCTGGACATAAAAAGAGAGACCATAAAGCAGCCTCCCCAGCCTGCTGCCCTCCAGATGGGTTGGCCTGCAACTCCCAGCTTTCCCCAGCAGGGTCCATAGACAAATGTTTGCAGACTGACCATGACTACCCTAGCGTAGCTTTTAACTGGAGCCATTTTGATGCAACATCTTTAATACTCAGTCTTTAATCATGCAATGTTAATACGCTCAATGAATCGGGGTGCTTTAGCCAGATTTTTTTTTGGACCATTTTGTATCTTGATATGCTCATTCTCTGTTGATTGCAGGTTGCACTCTCACTGCAATGATCCTTCTTTGGATGATCCGATCCCTCAGGAATACGCCCTCTATTTATGCCCAACAGGCCCTCTGAATGATGTACTGATGGAGTTTTGGAGAGAAAGCAGACAACAGTGTGGAAAAAACAAAGCCCATGATAATTTCCCACACATAACACTTTCAGAATTCTTTACGGTGATCTTGACTTTTATACTGTGCAAAAAAAGTGATATGTACACCATTCTCTTGCCTTGTGTCACTTTGATGTGTCATATAAACACACAAGGCGATCAAATGGTCAATTCTAGAGGAGATCAACCCTGACTGCTCTTTAGAAGGCCAGATCCTGAAGATGAAACTCAAATACTTTGGCCACCTAATGAGAAGGAAGGACTCCCTGGAGAAGCGTCTAATGCTGGGAACAATAGATGGCAAAAGAAGAAGGGGATGGCAGAGGATGAGGTGGCTAGATGGAGTCACTGAAGCAGTTGGTGTGAGCTTGGGTGGACTCCGGGGGATGGTGGAGGACAGGAAGGCCTGGAGAAATGTTGTCCATGGGGTCGTGATGGGTCAGACACAACTTCACGACTAACAAAAACAACAAAATAAAAACACAGTGCTCGGTTTTAGCCAGCAGCCAGTTCCAGAAGCTGTTTTTGCTGTTTACCATTTTTTATCCAGCCCTGAAGTTTGTTATTTGCCCCATTCTCCTCATCCTAAGTGTTAAGACAGAAAATATATGAATTATATTTTAGGCATGATCTTGAAGCAATAGCATTCTGTAACCCATAATTTCTTTCAGTGTGAAGACCAAAAGGTTGATGCCTTATACGATGCCTTAAAGAGAGCTGGTGACCAGTTTTCCAGTTGCTTCCCAGCAATCATCTCCTTATCACTACATTCCTCCACCACTTACATCGGCTTCTTCGTCAGTGATGGTCCAGCAAATATACTCAAATCATTTGCAGTAGCTTTTGCCACAGAGGCCATGGCCTTAGCAGGTAACAAGGGTGGCAGACTAGAAGTGTGGAATTAGACTGAGGTGTTCCCTTTTTCAATGCTCCAAGGGGCAGGCATGGGAGCCGAGAAATTGTTGACTCTGTTTCAGCCTTCTCCAACTCATGTGTTGGACTGAAAATTCTGTAATTCTTCTAGAACAGTGGTGGCAAACCTATGGCACATGTGCCGCAGCGGGCACACAGAGTCCTCTCTGTCGACACACTAGCCAAGTCGCCCCAGCATCTCCCCAGCAACCGAGCATCGGATTACAGCGCACATAGGGGCCATGCGCACGCTCGGAAAGGAATAGCAGCACCAGGCGATGACGTCACGAGCAGCGACTCATCTGAGCTTTCGCCTGGCCTGTCAGTGCACTGCCAAGGATGGATGGGTGGATGGGTGGATGGATATTTGCTTGGACTGGCTGTGAGTTGTTTTTTCTAAACTAAAACCTCAGTATTCAGGTTTTATTGCAGTGTTGGTACTTTGCAATAAATAAGTGGGTTTTGGGTTGCAGTTTGGGCACTCGGTCTCTAAAAGGTTCGCCATCACTGTTATAGAAGTTACAGTCCAATACATCTGAATGGCAATGCCAGCCAAGAGTTGCAATCCAATATATCTGGAGGGCACTAGGTTGGGGAAGGCTGCCCTGTGTGAACTTTCCGATAGAACACTCAGCCCTCTTTTCTGATGCCAGCTGAATCAGGCAGCCCATCCTTGTGTGCAGGCCTCATGAATGCGTTTATGTATTAGCGCTACTTACACTGTATCTTATAACAATTACTTAGTGACCTGCCCCACTAACTCACTTCTGATAGAAACCCAAAGGACTGTGGGTTACAGTGATCGTACAATATTGCTAGAATACCAGTCTGGATCTAGTCGTAATTAATCCCGTCTTGAAGTCTGGTTTGATGGTCACTTTATCCATTAGACTGCTGTGTGAAACCTTCAACCAAGCAACTCCACATGACGCTGGCCAACAAATTTTATCCACACCATCAAAAGACTTTGGAGCAACTAGCCAAATCCATCAATCCTAGGCAAAGCTGCCAGTGGGTCGCAACTCTGTATTCCAGAGACATGCGCTTCGTACATTACCAGGTATGTGCCTTCCTAGATAGCTTTGTTCTTCTGAAATTAGAGAACCTTTCTGTGGGTATGCAGTGATTTAGGTGTCAGGTACACCCCCTCCCCCTGGGAATGGATCACTTTATTTACAGATTTTGAGGGCAAGCTCCAGATGCTGGTGTAAATTTGTTTCCACAATGTTCTTAAAAAATATTTAAGACAGCGCTTCTCAAGTTTCTGATGGATATAGAATCCTTGCTATCAGAATAGAAGCCATCATGGGCATGGAATTACACATGGAAGAGAAAGCAGGAGCACAAAAAGCAGTCCATTGACCTATCTATTTCAGTATTTTTGACAGTGAATAGAAGCAGACCTCCAAAGTTTTAAGCAGAGATTATTTTTATCCAGTTGTTGCTGTTATGCATTCTTATTCCACCTTTGTTCCTCTTATGAAGAACCCAGAACTCAGAACAAGAACCCTGTGAGTAGGTTGGGCTGAGTGACTGGCCCAAAGACATCCAGTGAGCTTTATGGCTGAGTGGAGACTAGAAGCCGGATCTCCCAGGTTCCTCTCCAGCACCTTCACCATCACACCGCCCTGGCTCAGTCAGTCAGGGATGCTGGCGATCCGTCCTCAGATAGCAGGGAGGCAGATCATGGGCTCTGCTGCTCAGCTGCGGTCCTCCAAATCAGAAATCTGACAAGGGCTGTTTCAAGGACAATACGAGCAATGCAGTAATCAGCTACTAATGTGGTTTCCATTGACAGATAACTTTGTGATGAGACAGCAGTGGAGTTTGCATAATTATGTGATTCTTTTATCAATGCTGAGCAGATATTCCAGTGCTGGCCAGTGCTCCTGGGACACTCTGTTGCTGCCAAAAGGGGGACACAACGTAGGCTCAAGAGCCACTTTCACTATTTTACCCCACCCCCAAATCTTTACAAAAAGGGCAGCAGCAGTTCATAGCAGTGGTTGGGAAAGAGAGAAAGACTCGTGCCCCTGGAAGGGGAAGGGGCAGCAACTCACATTAAGCCTGATCATCTGTTAGGCCTCTCCTTGACACATGACAACCAACCTACTCTGGCTTATCGCTAAGGTGGGTTAGCATAACATGTGAATACACTCGGTGATAACACATGACTTTCGCACAATCAGATGGCCATATGGCAACTACAGTTATCACAGGAACAACATAGCCTCTGAGCTGCTCTTCTCCGCAGCACTCATATTTTCCTGCTTCAGATGCAGTCTGAATGCTTTTGCTGTGGTCATTGTACATTTGCCTGTTCAGCAGCTTCTATTGAAATCAGTGGGGCTTAGTCCCATGATAAGCTGTGGCAACCTTGCTAAATGGTGCTCTTTTGTGGTTAGAAATTTGTTTTGAATTTTAATGGGAACTTCCTTCACTGCACACTTTTGAACCAATACACAAGCTAAAATTTGATTATTCTTTGAAATATTTATTTCCTTGAATACTGGAACAGAATCAAGAACTACAAACAGAAACACAGATATTGGGGAAATGCTCCCTAAATGGTGTATATTAGTGCAAACAACATAGAGTGATGGTTTGTGTGTGTGTGGCAAAATTGCATATGAAGTGTATGTATCAGAAGAATCGTGTTGAAAAATGTATACACATTTTCATATAAACTTTAAAAAGAAAAATTCTCAGAGTTCAAGATGAACTAAATTTAACATTGGAAATTTTCTTTTACCATTTGAGAAAAACTAACTTAAGACTGGAAAAATGAGGAATTGTGAGAAACCAGAACTGACAGATCCATCCCTCTATAACTGCACATTTATTTATATGTCCCTTATTTTCAAATGCTATCATTGCATACAATGATAGCAACTTTTCCATTTTTTTCTGGATTTGCCAAAATATACACCACTTTCACTTTTAAAGGTTTGGATTTTAAGGATTGGTTTCCTCTTAGGTTTTGAGGGCTTTGTTCCAATATAAGCCTCAGAACATCGATGAGCTGATGCTGAAAGCTGGAGATCTTATATATGTCAATCCAACGCAACAAAGTGAAGTTTGTGATGGCTGGGTCATTGGTATCTCCCACCGATCTGGTTGTCAGGGATTTCTTCCTGAAAACTACACAGAAAAGGCCAACGAGTCAGATACCTGGGTCAAACACAGGTTAGTGTTACTTGGCTTCAGTTTTCTTCCTGCAATGTGTGCCCGTTTCTCCATTTTTTATTGTTCTCCACTGCTACTGTAAGGGAGGGGGAGAGTTGTTAAGACAAATGTCAGTACCTCCTGGAAATTAGGTAAGGTTGTGGGATACCTTTTGTTCATCTTCCTCAGCTGAAAGCCACCAGCACACACACCCTGCCCCCTCCTGGTTAGGTGCAAATCCAGGCTTTAATCCTTAAGGAGAATTCTTAAGGTGGGCCACTTTTCTAGAGCATCCTTTAAACTCCCTAGAATGGTATCAACTTGTTAGCTAAGCAGTTATAAGACTGCTAGCCAAAAGAACTAAATCAGCTCTCATTTCCAATTGCATATATGTATTTCAGTGCCAAGCAGAGAAAAGTTCATAGATGGTTAGTTGCTTTTAAAATGAAATGAAAAGTCAGACTAGCCAGCTCAGATATACTTCTCAGGATTACAAGATTAATTCAGCAACAAGGCCCACATGGAGCTTCCCGGCATTGCTCTTTGCCTCCTTCCCAGTCAGTGAGAGAAAATGGAACATCTTAAAGGAGAGGTGTATTTCTGTAGGGCTGGGTCATTCCCAGTAATGGAAATGCAAGTTGACTAATCAGTAACTTGGGAAGACATGGTTTTATGGCCTCTAGGTTTCTGTGAGTACCTGGTTAATGTATGGTTGAGTCACGGATGGAGTGAAGAGAGAGTCAACCTGGAAGGTGTAGAAAGGCAGATGTTAGTGGCTATAGCTGCCTGGACTACTTCTTTGTTCAGAGAGATGTCCTGCTGAGAAGGCTAAGTTGGTTTTATCACAGTTGTACTAATTTTCATGTTTAGTAATGAAAGCTAGTCTATGCAGAGACTTGTGGGTTACTGTATAATGGTCTGCAATGTGGGTCTTCTGCCAATCTAATTATGGGCAGAAAAAGCACATCTTATCATTTTGCAAAGCACTACATGCATCATTTTCTTGGCAAGGACAAGGTGTTTCATTCATCGTGAGGATGTCACTTTTCTCACGTACTATGGTCTTGGTTGTGTGTTTGGTTCCAGGAAGAAGAACTTAGATTTCCTCACAGTTTTCTTTTTCTTCAACAGAGAATATATTTTCACTCTAGCCTCAGTACATCCTCCTAAGAATCACAATGACACACGCATGAAACTGAAAAATCCAAATCCAATGCCAAGGAATGTAGCCAAAACAGTTGCTCATCAGGTAACTGGATTTTGAATAATTTGCTGTATGATATGTGCATAAAATCTACTGTAAATGAAACAATTATGCAAAATAAGTTTCTGTATAAGTAAATTTATGTACAGTTTTGAATTTCACTTGATAACTAGAAATCAAAGGGCATCATCATCAGACATGTCAGAGACTAAGAAAGCCTAATTTCAGAAGTAAACCAGTGTCCAAAACATTACTATTTGCTGTGCTGACTGAAGCTGATAGAGCTGAGGTTCGAAGCATCTGGAGGGTACCACATTGGAAAAAGTCTTGGAATGTGTGTTCTAGCACTTTAATTGCCATAAAAGTGAGCAACCAAAATGGTGAAGAGGAAAAGCTCAGCTGTCATGTCTAGTTTCATCAACTTTTAGCACAGCACGATCTATGTTCAGTTGCCACCAGACATTGAGACCAAACTACAGAGAGTATTGTTACATCACACTGTACCAGTGTGGTTCTTCGAGGCATCTGGCCAATTTCTACCTAAGACCAAATGCAATACCAGATAGAATGTTTGTTCTGATTAAACAAGGCAATTCCTGAGTTATTACTATCAACAGAAGTTTCATCATTGTCACTGTGATGCGCCAGTTTTGCTGTTTTGAGGAACTAATATTGAACTGACTAGAGTACCAGCCTGTACACATCATGTCAGTGCAGCATCCATGTAAATAACACTTCCACTCATTTAAACATCAAAATGTTTCTGTCATTCTAATAAACGGAGTGGTGATACAATTTCTTTCAGCTGTCTAGGAAATCCACAGCACAAAGAAGTCTGTTAGTGATTCGCCATGGAGAAAGTGTTGATCAGGTGTTTGGGAAGTCTTGGCTACAGCAGTGTTTTGGTGCAGATGGTAAGTAGAAATTTGGGGATTTGATACTGCAGTTTTGAACTAAGGCAAACATATCATGTTCAAAGTAATGAACAAAACAAAGACAATCAGCCCACTTGCACCTTGCAAACCCCATTGTGAATGGAAACCTGTGTTTGCCGTGAGTTTTCAATGGTGTCATCATGAATTAATAAAGCACCACTTGTGGTTGGGGGGTGGGATGTGTCGCAGATTTTTATTTATGCATGTCTTAATTCTTAAATGTATTAGTTGCTCTATGGCTGATGGCTCTCAGGGTGCTATATGACAAAATGCATACACAAATCGATAAAAATCCAAAGTAAAATGATAATGAAACAATCAATCAGCCATCAATTAAAATGGCAATCCGTTTTTGTGACACTCAAGCTAAGGTGGGAAGAAAGTGAATTCTATTTAAAAATGTGAGTTTATAGTAACAGCAGGAGTCTTCAAAGAGCAATGAGCTATAATGATCACAAATAAAATTGTAAGAAACAGGAATTAGATTTGCCAAGAAGGATGAGCTGATATTCATGGACATAAAATGTTCTGTTTTGTTTTAGGAAAATACTATCGAGGAGACCTTAATTTGCCCATCGGTCTAATGAACCGAAAAGATGGTATCAAGAGCTATGAATATGATCCCCCTTTATCACACTGTGGTATATTCCAGTCTAGACTAATTGGTAAGGTTTGTATATTCATCAGAGCTCAAAGAAGCAGCAGGAAGGGTTTTAAACAGAGAGCGCATAGCTTCATTTTACCTTCACAACAACTTTCCTGAAGTCATGAATGAGTGACCAACCCAGCCCCAATATGTAATACTTTGCACTTGAGTGGAACCACTTTTGCCATTTTGATTCCATTTCCCAGTTTTAGGATATCATTTTGGAGCTCCTCACAATCCTTTTTGGTTTTAACTGCCAAAAATGGTTTGGTATCATCAGCAAAGTTGGCCATTTAACTGTTCACTCCTAATTCCAGATTGTTTATTAATAAGTTGAAAAATATCCTTCTCAGTACAATTCCCTGTAGGAACCCACTGTTCACCTTCTTCCTTTGGGAGGAATTACCATTAATTCCACTGTTTGCTTTCTGTTTCTTAACCAGGTATCCGTAAGGGGATCTTTCCCCTTATTCCATGACCACGAAGTTCACTCAGGAGTCTTTGATGAGGCACTTTGTCAAAAGCCAAAATTTTGAAAGTCCAAACAAACAGTGTCTCCCTCAGCACCCCTCTCCATGTGTTTACCGACACTCTCAAAGAAATCTAAGATTATAGTGAGATTGGACTTAAATTGCTGAAGCCATGACGATTAATTTTTTTAACGAGGCTTGTTGTTCTATATGCTTATTGATTCTACTCTTAATAGTGCCTTCAACCAATTTACCCAGAACAGATCTTAAGCTGACTGACTGTAATTTCCTGGATCTGCCTGAATTCCTTTTTAAAAATTGATGTTACATTGGCCATTCTCCCATCCACTGGTAGAGAGGCTGATCTCAGGGATAGGTTACATATTTTTGTAAGAAGATCAGCACATTGTAGTAGATGTCAGGACAAATAAATGGAAATCTGTTGGTGGACTGTCCAGCCCATTATCACATGGACTGTGCTTGCAGAGAAGACCCCAAAACTGGCCTTGCCATTTCCCTGAGTGTCCCTGATCTTGGGGTACTTCACCATGCATGCTGAGGCTATCCTGTCATGTGTGGCTAGAAACCATTGCTGAACAGAATTTAGTTGTAAGTCAACATTACATTACATTACATTACATTACATTACATTACATTACATTACTGTCTTGGTCAAGTAGAAGGGCATTGCTGAATATAATATTCAGCAGGATGCGATATTCTCAGGATTCAGTCCTGAGAGATATTAGAACAAAGCACACAAAGCCCTGGGCCTGGATGGATGAATTTGTCAGCTACTTTCAGCAATTTTAATCTCGAGTTCTCTTGGTCCTGAATTGTTTTCGACAACATTTCTTTCAAAGCAAACCTCTGAGATTCTAGGTTTAAAAATGAAACAATACCAATGGAAATAAGCATCTATAGCCAGTGCTTAGATGAAAATCCAAGCAGGTATATTGGAAAAACATATCTTGCGAAGAAGGATCATTTATGGGCATATGTTTCCCACTACCAGGTGAAGCCCTGCTAGAGAATGAAGTGATGATCAGCTGTGTGTACTCTTCTCCAGCACTGTGCTGTGTCCAAACCGCACAGCATGTTCTGGAAGGTAGGTGAGCCTTTCTAACAGAAGCCATGCTTTGAATCAGTTGCTGCTGATGTGGTTTGTAGCTGTTCCACCATTTGCCTTGAGTAGATTTTTTTTGGGGATGGGAAAGTAGCTTTGAGGATTTTGTTGCTACAGGCTAAGGAAGCCTTCACTACCAATGTTAAGAATGCCTTTTTTGTCTCTCACAAGTGGGACTTCTCACAAATGTGCAGAGTGGCATTCAGGATTGCAGACTCTAGTCTGGTTGGGCAGCTGCTGTGACCTGCACTTCAGCAGAAAAAATAAATGATTAGATACATCAGAATAAATTCTGCAGTGCATAAGGATCTCTATCAATCTGGTCCTGCCTGAAACAACTCAGGAGCAGAGGCTTAACATAAATGCTTTGCCATGATGTCCAGCTGGGCCATAACATCAGAGAGTTGTTATGCTCTAGCGGAGAGACATTAGACCTACAAGAATTTAGTTCTGAATTTGAAACAAATGCACCTATACTTGGTGGATGTGGGAATGAAGAGTAGTGATTTACCTAATAAATAACTGGCATTTGAGGCCATGAGGCTTTAAAGAAAGGATCGATCTGAACCAGAATAAGTTTGCACAAAGAAAATGCAACCACCAACATCTTAAATCTTTCAATATTGCTGATTCTGGAAACTATACTGGCAAAAGTGCACTACTAACCTGTTACTTTAACATTCTTCCTAAAAGCAGTGACTGGAGTGCCCCAGTAAAGACATACAAGGAACAAGCATGAATATAGATTTCTGAACATGTACTTTGATCATTACAGGGCTTCAGCTGGAACAAAAAGTTAAAATTCGTATAGAACCTGGGCTCTTTGAATGGACAAAATGGGAGAGCAATGCAGCTGTTCCCTCATTTGTGACACAGAGAGAACTCGCTGAAGTCAATTACAGCATAGATACCGCATACAAGTAAGTGCTACTGTGGATAGAGTCACATAATGGCAGCTCATCATGGTAAATCAAAATGATGTGTTGCCATTAAGTGCCAAGCATCCCATAAGCCCAAGAGACAACCAGACGCATCAAGGATGTGTTGCTCCTTCCCCCCGCTTCCCCTTGTTCCCCCAGGTAGTAACTCTGGGACACCACGGAGAGAAACAAGGTTCCTCTCCCTGGCAGCATGACCACAACCAATTCCAGCTTGCTGCAGTAGAGGCTCCATTGCACTACCAGGGCTCATGCCATCAAGCCTCTGGGGTCAACTTCCAGCCTCATCTGGGCCAATGACCACTGTAAGAAAGGCAACGCTGCACTAGATGGACTTTTACTCTGATCCTGCAAGTGGTCCTTTTCTGTTCTTCAGCCCCATGTGATGTTTCTGTGCCACTTGAGGGCTGTCAGCTTGGTAAAACTGCAGTGCCAAGGGATGACAGAAACAACCAACAGTGTCACTTGAATTAAGGGAATGGGGTCATCTTGGACTGCTGCTCAGAGACCCAAGACAAATCCTATGTCACTGCACGTTGGTCAGTGCTGAAGAGCAGACTCTTCAATGCAATTCCACCCACAACTCCACTATCCCTGTTCATGGGTTGGAAAAAGGGTGGAAGTTAAGAGTTCAGTCTTGTTCCCACTACAGCTAGCTTAAAAAAAAATCTATGTTTCTGTTTTTATTTTATTTGGAAAGACTATTAGTTCTCTTTGTCCTGACAAAGCATTGCATTACCCAAAATGATTGCAAAGGGTGCATTTTGAAATAAGGAACTGACAATTGCACTATTGGTGTGGATTATACTGTAATGTTTCCATGTCAGTGGTGGGTATATGAAAAATGCTGGGGTTTTAAAAGAAACAGCCATTAGGGATTAAGTGGCACTGATAGTGAGGTCAAAGAGAGGAAGGTGGGGAAAAAACAGTTCTCATCCTTTACATAATATTGTTTCAGATCATTAATAATTCTTTCACATATATGTTGATTTAGATTGCATTCATTAGAAGCAGAAAGTCTTTGCAAGTTTTGCACATTGTTCTTCCATTCAGTCAACCACAGTAGTTTGTTTGCAGTTTCTGTGTCTTACTCTCCATGTCAAAGCAGTTTTGCAGCACAGAACAGTTGTGGAAAGTTTGCAAAACCACAAATGAAACAGAAAACAAAAACAGGAGCTGGACTGATTGTAGCCATGCCCCTTGCCTTGGAAGCCGTCTTGTAAAATATACAGGTGTGTGGCCCAGTGGTGGAGGTGATTTGGCTGGTTACAAAAATGGCTTCTTTCCCCTGCCCCCACTTGCTGCATGATTTCCCTACTTACCTTTGTGATGCATGGTTTCTGGTGTTGATGGTGACTCCATGACCTTGTGAGCACTGGCCCCACAGCGCTACTTATTTCTCAGCAGAAAGCTTATTTCTTCAGCTTTGAATGGCGTTGCTTTGTTTTTCATATTAACCAAGTCATTTCCCAACCATAACGCTGTTGCTACTGTTTTCCACAGAAATCCAAACACCTCCTATAGTTTAAGTCAGATTTCTGCAACCTGTTGCTCTGATGGCTGGGATAGTCATATTCCAATATATCTGAAGGGCACCAGTGTGGAGAGGAGAGGCCTATTGAATCCAGGGCTAGCAAGACCATGCTTTACCCATGAAATTATGTAAGGATGTGAGAGGAATGGAAACAGAACTTGTTGGGAGAAAGGGCAAAGTACATGAGATGTTAAGTGGGTTTTTGAATATACTGACTAGGTTTTGAAAATGCACCTTTTTTGAACTGCGGGGAAGGGGAAATAATAATTCTAGGGATCACAACACTTGGGAGGGAAAATGAAAACGTTTACTTCTTTCCTGCAATCTTGAGAAAAATCTCTCCTCTGAAGCTGATACTTGCATTGGGAGGAAATCCAGCCTTGGCACCTTCTCTCCATAGCAAATGGCATCTTCAGAGGGGGTTATATTCCTCAAGACTTCTGCAAGGGAAGAAAGGAGACATCCCCATTCCATCCCTGCCTGCTGCAACCCCAATAATTATCACACACAGACACGCACACCTTATGTTCTTTGCAATAGATACAGCCTGCATTTTAAGTGCAAAACTGCATTTCCCTAGAGATACAAGGAGCCAAACTTCTGTGAATACAGAAGTTCCATTTTTAAACTTTTCTGTATCTGCATAATCCTTTTCCAAAGCCAACCATATTGATGACTCTTACCAGATCTTATATCAATTGATAATACCAATGACAGTGCAGAAAGCAAAAACAGTTCAGCAGCATAGGAAAATCCCAGACTTTGAATCCCAGGGAAGTGTTGCACATTTTCTATGCTACTTACAGGCTGCAAAGCACTTTCAACCCCTTAAATATAGACTCTTTCCTCATCGGTATCTCAATACCAATTTTATTTTGGAAGAACTGGCACTGAAAGAAGGAGATCCTAATTCACCAGTTTCTCAGGAGTGTGGGAGCTCTGATACCCGAACAGAGCTCCCTCACTTGCAATGGCTCAGTCGCTCATTTCTGTGGATGAAACAGCTCTGCATGTACACAAGGTCACAAGCTCTTGTTGCCCCTTGCATGGCATCCCATTTGTACAGGAGCTCCATGTGCGCATCAGGTAACACTCGGAGCTCCAAGGGCTAAAGGTTGCCCCAAGGCCACCAAGCCAGGTAAGAGGTGGAGCAAGGATTGACCTTTGCGTGATCCAGATCCAGTGGGAGCTGCAATCCAACGATCCTTAACCAAGCCAATGGTTTTCTTACAGATGCATTTTCCCTCTTTCTTCGTTGACGCCCTCTGAAACCTATGAGGACTATATAAACAGATGCTCTGCAAGTACAAAACAGATGGTTGGCTCCTGCACAACTGAAGGTAACTCTACGGTAATTCTTAATTTCATTCCCTTGAATTCTTAGCAGGTTTGCCATATGATCTTCCCCTGTATGACTGCTAAAATATCGCTGGTCTTGTGGAATCTACATTGGTCTGAATGCACTCAGCTATCTTAAGGACAATTCACACACATTGTTCTAACAAGCTACCTTTCTAACAACAGGCACTATCCTGATTGTTGGCCATGGTTCATCTCTGGATTCCTTTCCTAGGCCATTATTGGGTCTTCCAGCCAGGGAGAGCAGTGACTTTGCCCACTTTGTTCAAAAGGTAGGCTATTACACACCACTATAAATAAACAGGTTATTTTGGGTTTTTTCTCCCTGTTTTGTGCAGGGTCTTTAAAATTTTAGCTTGGTCAGTCCCTGTTGTCCATCCATACAGTACATATGTGTGCGTATTTACTGCTAGAAATATGGAAAACTTTTTATACTGGGTTTAACAATTTATCTGTCTAGTAAAAGATCACCAATTACAGGCAAGGGTCTTTCCCATTACTTCTTAGCTGGATGTTTTAAATGGAGATACTGGGAGTCAAATCTGGTAACTGTAGCATCCAAAGCAGGATTGTTAAAACTCTTTTGTCCCAATGGACAGTTCTTCAGTTTTGAAGAAGCTCTCAGGGGCTCATTCCAGTGCTAGCTGGGACCTGAATCAGAAGGTGGAGCCAAAGTCATACTTGAAAAGGCAAAGGTACCATCGTGTTTTTGCTTGCCTACAGGGCCACAGGATTATTTGGAGACCCAGGTCTGATATTGGGAAACAGCTCCAGTTTCAGAGCTGGGCCTCAATGCCTGAAGCACCCTCCTCCCACCTTGCAGACAGCATGGACAGGACCTCCCTGGCTGCAGTTCCAGGATCAAAAGAGCAAGCTCAGGGAGGTGAAAAGGGTGTTCTGGCAGACAGGAAGGGTATGATGTATCCTGGTGGCATCTCAGTTTTCTTCCCTCCCCAACTGAAGCACCCCAGCTAGATGGGCAAAACTGACTGTCTAGCTAAGTTGTAGAGTGGGAGGAACACAAAGGCCATTTTCACCTCCACCTGTCTTCATCTAGGAGAAACATTTCAGCTGTTTGGAATGGGAAACAATTGGCACAAACTTGAGAAGCCACCAAAGAATGCGTAGTTGGGTGAAAGGGGTTATGGGCAGGGAATGTGGTTATCTGAGGAACCTTAGCTTACCAAATCAGAACTCTGGGAGGGCTAGCTTTGACATGCAGACATGAGGTTAGGTGTCTCTGATCCCAAGTTGATTCTGATCCATGGTCCTTTACCCCAGAAAAATGGGCTGGAAAAAGAAGGCTTTTCCTGGCAGCTTTTCTAATACTGTTGATAAGGCATATGGAGAATGGAAACTGCTTTCAGATCCCATCATCCATTTGTACTATAACACAACCTTCTCACATATGCCCATCTTTTAAAAAGCCTCAAGTGCCTGTCCTTTATTGTCTTGGATAATGAAAACTATTAATTAATGAAAATGATCAACTATTCAATGATTTCAGGGTGTTGGCCTGTATGGGGCAGAAACTTTCTTGCTTGCTTCAAGCATTTTGAATAGTCCTAACAAAATCCTCTGGAAATCTTCTCTGCTTTACCAGATACCTTCACTAGGCATGTGTTTCTGTGAAGAACTGAAAGAAGAGAAAAAATGGAAAATGATAAACCCACCTGTCAAGATGTTAACCCATGGAGCAAATGTTGCATTTGATTGGAAGAAGATCCTTCTGGAGAATTAAGTTATATGCATTCATCCCCATTGTGGATTTATACTTTTCTGGTTCTACAGAATCTCAGCCCAAAGCCCTGCCCTGTGGTCTCTTTCATGGCTACAACAACCAAGTGATGGAACTCAGGAACTGGCTTACATATAGGGAGAGGCAGTCCATACCTTCTTTGCAATTCTAGGTTTTCAGCTTTAAAACAAAACAAAACTTCCCTGACAAGGAAAGAAATGCAACCTAGAAATAAAAGCTGTAGGTTTCATTTTAATTGCATTTCTCCCCTAATAAATAGGAGTAGAATTGATGTAGAATACTGCCTACATCATATTTCTCTAGCTAGACTCTGTCTTCTATCACACAAATAAGGATTTGTGAAATGTCTTGCAGTGCACTTTAAAAATAAGAATATTTTATTGCTTTGCTAATGCAAAAATTGTGTTGCTGATTTTTAAAAAAAATCAAGCACACTTTTCAGCTCAGTATCTGCTGGAGATTTCCTGAGCTTAGATTTATGTAATAAAAGCACATGGAACTGCTGCTTTTGATCTTGTCCTCTGATACACCTATACATTTGTCCCCCACATTCTGACACATAGACAAATCTCTTTCACACATGAAGTTGAATCTCCCCCTAATCTACTTTTCCCCCCTGTGAGCCCAGCCATGAATAGAATGTGTTGAGGACAGCTCTAGAGTAACAGGCACTTCAGAAAATAGTGTGGGTTGGTCCTGCATATAAGGCTGGAGTGGAGAAAGAGGATTATTTTTAAGGGAGTTTATTGTGTTAAAGCATTCTTAATCTTGCTTACCAGTCAAAAAGTCTCCCTGGTGGTTTATATGCAATCAAGAAAAACAAGAGAGACTCTCATTTTGTGCTTGCAATCAACAGACACAACACAAATGGAAGGAGTAGTGAGAAAGGAAGAAGGGGCAGGCAAACTCAGGCACAGTTGCAAGTTAAATAATCGTTCTGATTAGCTGGAAAAGAAGCAGTTCAGGGAAAGGATAAGCCTGATCGATCTAACCCCTTCCCATCCCCCACGGTTACAACCCAGAGAAATGTCTCCCTGCCTGGGAGGGAATGCCCAAGTGAGTTAAAATAAGAGACCCAATTCCTTGACATGTGTTTCTGTCGTCCATTATTGTTGATGCGTATACTATACATTCACACAACTGCAGGGTCCCTTAAGGATTTCCATCAGTACCAAGCAGAGCATGATACTTTGTTGGTAAATTATATGGAATTAAGCATGATCAGGGATGTGGACGAGGTTGGGGATGGTGCCAATTATTGGGGACGGTGAAAACCAAAAGGGTGTGTGAGGAGCTCCAAAGGAACAAGGGGCATCACACAGCTCCATGTAAGCAAGGATATCGTGATAAACGAGGGGCAGCAGGATCAGTTGATGGGATCCAAAGTGCTAGAGAGTTCTATCCCTGCCTGAGATACCAGTAAAGAGGTTTCTTCTTTGCTCTGCTCCACTTAATGTCTTCAGCTTAGTCAGCTCTAACCTGTCTACAATAGCCGCACCATGGGCCTCCCTGGGCCCTTTCTCCCAGTCAAAGCTTCATCTTCTATGGTTTCCACTACCATGTTCTTCCCCTGGAAAATCCCTTGAGGCAGTATCTTGTCTGTGCTATAGGATCACTTCCTGGCATCACCTGTTGAAAGCAAATTATGGCAAGACTGAAGCTGGGACTTGGGCCTCATTACTGGAAGCTTCCCCTGAGGCTGGAAATGATTGAAGGCAAAAGTACTCCTGTATCAGGCTGGTCCTATATCATTTACACTGGCAGCCAATTGGAATCCAGGCCCAGTTTAAGGTGCTGGTAATGACTATAAAGCTCTAAACAGCTTGGGTCCTGGATACCTGAAGGAGCGCCTTCTTCCCCATGTGTCTGCCCACCCCTTGAGATCTGAGACACAGGTCCTTCTCCAGGAGCCCTCTTTGAAGGAAATTAGGAGGGCAGCTACCCCAAGAAGGACCCTTTTGGTGGTGGTGCCCTGACTTTGGAACATGATCCCCAGGGAGGTTGCCTGCCACTGTCACTTTATTCTTTTCAGCATCAGGCAAAACCCTTTTAATTTTCCCAGCATTTTAATATTGAATTGGTTTTATCCTTGATTTTCTCATTAATGGTCAGATGCAGTGTGTTGTTTGTTGTTATGTTGTTGTTTTCTGGTTTTTGGATTTTTTTTTTTCTCCTTTGTAAGCCATCCAGAAACTGTGGTATTGGACAGCATACAAAAACTTTAAATAAATAAATAAAACGAACAAACGAATGAATAGGAGAAGGGGACAGCAGAGGCTGTGGTGGCTGCTTGGGGTCACTAGGGAGGTGGATGTGGGGTTGGACGGACTCTGGGGGATGGTGGAGGATAGGAGAATTGTCATCCATGGGGTCGCAAAGAGTCAAACACAACTTTGAGACTGAACAACAACAACTAGAAACTTCAAGAATGGAAGGAGAAATGAGGAGAAAGATGGTCTAATGTGTAGTCCTGAAGCACAATCACAGCTTGCTGAGAACTTCATTGATTTTTTTAATGATTAAGCCACAGCCACCAGTGAAAAGACACTGTGCAGCTAGTCTATCTTTTCCTCCTTAGTGGAGTGTGTGTGTGTGTGGTGCGGGAGGAGGGCAGAAAAGGGAGGGCTTCAAAAAGAGGAAAATTGTCCTAAGTTCCATGTTTCAGGTAAGGTGGTTACACGATAAATGCTTCCTCAGAAAACATCCTAGGAAGCAGGAATAAGTTTAAAAATCTGGTTTCTGATGTTTAAATGGAAGAATGTTGGTACATATAGCAATCTAGGGTGACATCTAGTGGGGTAAACTAAGAATGCAGCCATCTAATTACCATTAGAAAAGCTCATTTGGAACAACAAACAGTTCCCTGCTATTTTATCTAAAGGAACCCCAAAGAACAAGTGTCCTTATATGGCACTTGTTGAGGAGGACTACAATCTATCGGGAAACCCCTGCAGTATGTGCTGTCCTAACAACTCATTTAAGAAACATCTGTATTTTTTCTACAACCTACTCAAATAACATGAGTAGCGTCTCTGCTCAAAAATAAACAGGACTAAATCAGGCAGCAGAACCTTTGAGACAAAGCTGCTGTAGCAGAAGTAGCCCACACATAAGCATGGGTGCCAATGGTTATTCATAAGTCAGCAGGACAAATGTCTCTATGCTTTCTCAGAAGGAAGCTGCTCTGAATCACTCAGCAGCTTTCTCCACAGGTTCAATCCTACCTCCACAACAGGAAAAAAAGACTAATGTCTTGGATCAGCAGCTGGTTGGAATCAGAGCCAGGGGAGGGGGCATGTCTGAAGATGCAGTTGGCAATTAGATCAGCCTGACTGTAGGAAGGGGGATTGGGTGCTGTTGACTTTAATGCGCCATCCTGAGGGCTGTATTGGCCTATACGTCATGGACTGTGCTTCCCTGCACTATCCTATCTAGACTGCTATACTTACAGCAGACCCACTGAAATCAAGCAGATTTAAATGGGATGACTAATTGGAAGGCCTATAAGGGTTTAAGCATGTACAATTTGCCTCTGACGTTTTGCTTTTAAGCAGTAAACACGCACACAGATGTGCCATGTTATAAACTACTTTTCAAGTGTTTTTACATTTTAAAAGTGGGCTGCCACATGACACAGGGGACAGTTGTTGAAACTTCTTGCAAAAAACAGCTTGAAAATTCTTAAATTTTCATTCTGTATGACAAACCTGTTTCATAACCTAGGGAAAATGTGAAAGGTTCTCTTTTCTTGCCTATGGACTGCAGTGGTCTCATCCTGATTGGTTCCCCCTGACTGGTTCCCCCTTCCACTTCCCATGTATACATGCATGCCAGTGGCTCCTCCCAGCACATTAGCCTCACAGGGATCTTTATTAAATGAAATGTTTTGCCACAGTTCCATCCATATCCCTCCATGTATTTATTATCATTTATCAGATGCAGTGTGTTGTGTGTTCTTTGTTGTCTATGGTTGCTTTTTTTTTTTTTTTTTTTGGTAAGCCGTCCAGAGATTTTTCATATTGGACGTCATATAAAAAACTTTAAATAAAGTTTTCACACTGTCTCTGTTTCTAAAAGTAAACAGAGGGGGCTCCATTGCTTGGCCAATGGGAATTCAGCAAGTAATGATGCAACTGTTGCTACGCAGCTGAGGGCAGTAGAGATTGAAGGCTATAAGCAGGTACTTCTGTGGCTGCTCTTGCCAGGGGACTCCTATGCTATTTCAATTATGAACGGTGGTAAAATAGTGATCCCAGATCTGGATGACAGAAGCTGTGGTGAAACATGGAAACCTTAGAACAAAACAGTGATTCTCTCTGTAGTTTCAGGGGAAAAAATCTGAAATACAGGAACTCCAGAACTGGGGCTAGAGAACATAACTGATTTTATTGTGATCTCTTATTGTGAACCTGCCCATTGTAACCTTTTCTCTTAGAGGACCTTTTCAGCCCCTTCATCATTTTAGTTGAGCCTTTCTGCAATTTTTTCAACTCTGCAATATCTTTTCCTAGGTAAACTGACCACAACTCTATGTAGTGTTCTAAGTGTGAAAGTGCTATAGATTTGTATCAGGGGGTCATGATCTTGACAGTTTTATTTTCTGTTCCTTTCCTAATGATGCCTAACAAAGAATTTTCCTTCCTTCCTTCAACATCCACTACACTTTGGGTGGACATTTTTCTACCACAACCCCAAGATCTCTTTCCTGGTCAGGCATCATTAGCTCCAATCCCATCAGCCTACACTTCCAAGATGCTGGGCAGGGGGTTGCCCCAACATGCTTCACTTTACAGTTGTTTGCATTTAACAGTATATGCCATTTTTATGCTCAGTCACCCAGTTTAGAGAGATCTTTTCCGAACTCTCTTTTTGTTTAAACCACTCCAAATAATGGTGTGTCATCAGCACACTTTGCCACGTCACTGCTTGTTCCTAATTCCAGATCATTTATAAATAATTTGAAAAGCATTGGTCTGGATACAGATCCCTGCAGGACCTCACCAGGGAAGACTGGCAATTCCGATGTTAGTAAAAGCTGCAATAAATGAGGAGCCTGCCTATTACCTTTACAGGAGAGATCCATGGTACGGAACCTATTTTGGGGTTGGAATTCAGTACCATGGTTAGCTCCTATAAATTGGCTGCAATGCATGAGGAACCCCACTGAAATAACTGCCAGCAGTCTTCCTGAATCCGTGTTCACATCCATTAGGGATATTATAATGCTTTCAGGCAATTTGTTTGGAATAGACATTAAGCTGACTGGCCTGAAGCTGAACCTCAGCCAGTAAGGTTGAGAATGTCTTCTTTTGCCATGACTATTTCCCTGAGTTCCTTAAACTCCTGTATTGAAAACATTTATTCAGGCACAGTATGTTCTATATCTTCTGTAGTGAAGTCAGATGACCACTTACAAATGGATACATATATACTTAGCCTGCCTTTGTTAATTTTATGTATCATTCTTAGAAAACTGCATATATATCATGAAGCATAAATTGAAAATGATATATTCAAAGCTATGAGGTTATATTTTTCTTCTCCCTTTTATGGTTTTGTTGAAATTTTATAATAAAAACATCAGTTAATAAACCCCTTCAGCCCCTGGCCTGTTTCAATAAGGCATAATTATCACTAACCACAGTTTTTTGCTCAGATGAAATGAGTAGTAACTTGAAAATGAAAGCAAAAGCTTCCTTGCTCTTCATTGTGGCTGGGCTGTAGGAACATAAGAGTAGAGGGACATGCATGCTTATGGTTCATTCTCATAATAAATGGTTCAGGATTACATCTGAATGCAGAGAATGTGTGTAAAAATATGAATATCACAAATATGGGACAGAAGATGAAATACAACTTTTTGACAAAAATATATTCTAACCAATGTGAGTTTTATATTATCATTACAGATACAGATATGATGATACCATTTTAATATGCAAAGATGGCCTGAGGCTAGCAAGACTGGGATACTGTGTGTGTGTGTGTGTTTCAAGACTTGGAAAACAAATTCAGATACAGCCAAGCTTCTATCCTATGCCAGATATTCATTAATACGTGTTTATTCAAAATAGTTTGATAGGCCTTTGAATTTCTAAAGTACATTCCACCCAATGGAGAAGACATGGCTGGAGGAAGAGGAGCAAGAGAGGCCAAGGTGGATCTCTTGCATCAAACAACAGTGAGGCTTAGGCTGCTCCTGGAAACATTCAGCTACCAGTCCAAATAACAGGCTCAAAAACTAAAGTTTCCATGCAGATCCACATAAATTAACTCCTTTTAAGTTCCACTGATTTCAGTGAGAAAGTTGCATGTGCTTATTTTTTGTTAATATTAATGGAACTTAAAAGTACTTAAGCTTGACTGCACCATCCCTCAATTTGTTATATGTGATTTTTGTCATTCCTTTCTCCTAGTCTTGAGGCTCAGCATCCTTTGCATCTTCTTCCTTCTCTTCTGACATGACTGCAGCTGCAGAGAATAAAATAAAATGGAAAATAATTAACATAACATAACATATTATCATTTTTATTTCTGAAATGTTAGCCATGTAACTGACACTATAGAAATATAGAATTCAAGAACAATTGTTGTCTAAAATAGCTTAAGTTAAAATCAAACTTAGACAAGAGTAAAAGCAGACAAAAGGAAGAATAGAGCAAATGAAGATTAAAATGCTGCTATAATTTCAGTAAAATTTTGTTAAGGGTTAGATAACCTTGGAGGGAAAGACTAGTATGTCAGAACTAATAAAACAGATCATGAAGAAGCGATCTGAAGGAAAAGGTTAAGGAGGCATTGCTGATAGTGGATGGATCCAGTCATGCTTAGAATAAACCAACAGGACTTTAAGTTTGTCATCATTAAGAATTTATTCCATTGATTTCAATTGGTTTATTCAAAGTGTGACTTAGTCTGAATTCAGCCATAAGAAGAACACATGAACCTAACAGTTTTACAGTGATTTCTCTCTCCTCTAACTGTAGAGACAATCTATTTTGCACTGTACACAAACTGTAGGCTTTAAGAAATAAGTACCATGTATTGCAGAGCAGCGTGGTAGTGGCTTGTAAGAGAAGGCAGCCTGGTTCACCTTGCAAGTCCTTGCAAGACTGGCATTAGGCCTGTGGATGCTTGCGGGGATTAGACCCACTGCAGTCACCACATCCAGCAGGAAGCCACAGGAGGGGCTCTAAACGGCTGCTCAGCCTTGCCCACGTTTAGGATAGTAACACAAGTTCTTGTGATGGTTGTGTTATGTTCCTGATGGTGGCCCCTTCTAGACCTGCAGTGTCTTCCTCTGTGCCTTGGTTCCTGTCTGCTCCCAACTACGCCTTGCCTCTGGTTCTACCAAATCTTTGCTGAGTATCTGAGCCACAGCTGCTCATAACCTGCATAGGCAGGAACTAGTAGGAGTTAAGGCACAATCAAGGATGGGGTGGGCCTGGAACCAGGATCAAGAATACAATGCAACCTCCACAAAACCTCGTGTCGCTGTGGCAAAGCTGAGGGAAGCCTTTTACAGAGGGTTCCGGAGCTTCCAGCTGTGCTGCATGATTGCACAGGCTCCAATCCTTGTGAGTACCAACAGGTCCTGCAGGAACTTGCAGGGTGAATCATGCCGCTCATCACCAGGGGAACTGTGTCAAGTCTCAGATTCTGACACCTTCCCTTCCAGGAAGAAAACATGGTTGTTAGCTGCCTAGTGCCTGAAGAAGAGCTGCCAGAGCTCAAGGTGTTGTATAGATCTGGGATTGGTGATAATTACCATCAACCGTACGTAAGCCACAGTGAGGATCAAAACGTGTGATACATGCTTTCTAAGCACAGTCTTCTTAATCTTTCAAGAGACCAGCTTCTTTCACTCACCCTGATCACCAAGGTCATCTTTCACTGTCTCATCTTCTTCCTCAGTTTCTTTAGGTGGAGATATTTCTGTGGCCTCTGCAGGTGCCTCAGCACTTTCAGCAGGAGCTTCAGAAGCAGTCTCACCTCCAGCTGAAATGGAGAGGAAAACAGTGAAAAAGTAAAGGTAACCTGTGTGTATTAAGTTTCTTTTACTTAATTTATTGGAGCTTAGAGGGGAGGCAGGAAGAAAAATACCATTGTTATTTCTGATCTGTGGTTGGGATTGTGACTGTGATTGGGACTGGGATAAAAAGGGAATTCCAACTGGAGGCACCAGCTAAGCACCTCCTTCATGCAAAAGAAGATCTGCATGAAGATCACTATCTTCACCCAGCTAAACCCAGCTGTTTACTATCACTAAAGGAGGTGCTTGTGTTCATGGGTCCCATGGCCTCATGCAATGGATTATCTAACCAGTGTGTTGGATAAAATGTCCCATTTCATCTACTTCTGCCACTGCTGGTAGGCCAAGGGAGGTTTCTGCAGGCACAACTGGGGCCTCCAAGGACAATGTCCCCACTGCAGATAGAAGTTCTTTCTACCCTGATTACATGTCACCAGCCAGCAGATTTGGAGGATGAGAATTACTCAGGCCAAAATTAGGAGAAAAAAACCCAAAGTCAAATATTTTTTTTCTAAGAACTTCCAGCAGTATCAGTAACCCCTGTATTGGCTTTTAAAGAAACTCTGAATGCACTAAAATCTCTCTTCAAGGATCCGATAGAAACACTGAAGCCTGACTGAGCTGACATCTATAGCAAAGACATAAGTGAACTAAAGGGCGCATCTTTGCACAAATCAGCTTTACTCACCCATTTATTAACACCTATAACTTTTCTCTATAAAGAATCCATGCTGCTTCATAATTATCAGAACTTCTCAGCAACAGCTCTCCCTCAAACAAGAAATTTCTTAAACTTCCCTCTTGTTTCATTATTCTGGCATGCATCAAAAAGAAGACGGATGGTATGGTTTGCATGTTACTAAGAAGTTACTCTATGCTCAGTGCAGCTTATTCCCTAATATATATGTGTTAATTACTGCAGCCTTATGGACAAACTCCACATTACACTAATGCTGTAGTTTGTAACTTATTCTCCTATTGTTTTGTTATTAATCAAGGAGTCTTTTTTGCTATGATTTATTCATTTTGAAAAATTTAGAAATATTTATGTAATTTAAATTTTATTTTTATGAAAGACACACCGTACCCAAGAGACTGCTCAAGCAACAGGCAACTCCCAAACCCAGCTCCTATGAGGCAATGCAACTGCCCCTAGAGTAAATCTACCAAATCTTCCATTCTACAGGAAGAAGGAACTTCATTAACACAGAACAGTGCAATCCCTTTGATGTTCTTGGGAACAAACATCCATTGCCTTGTCCCTAAAAATGGCACATAACAGTTATTAATTTATTTATGAAATGATCTTCTGAAAGTAGTCCACCTGGCACCCTCTTTACATTCTTTTTGACACCAGGCAAAAACAGTCCTCTTCTGCAGACATTTTAACAATTGATTCTATATTGTTAAAATTTTATGATGTCATTTAAACTGCTTTTAGCTTTAATATATTTTAACATTGCTATTTGATCCCTCAGCTGCATATTCTGTTTTATTGTATGCTATTTTTATGTGTTTTAAAATTTGATGCTATTTTATGTGAAATGTTGTAATCTGCTTAGAAAGACTTTGAACTAGTCATAGTGAACTTGTTGTAAGTTATTCAATTATTTATTTAAGTAATTTTTGTCCACATGACTGAAAGTTCCAACCACTATGCTGGCCAATACATCTCTGGAATTTGCCATCATGCACAACATGGTGGTGGGGATATTCCAGACTGGGCCCAAATTTTGGAGGGAGCCCCTACATAAGATTAAAAAAATAAATCCAGTCTTGAAAAATTTTGTTATACCAAGTACATTGAATGTGAATTGCTCCCACAGCCACAGTACAAACCTGGAACCACTGACTCCTCTGCTGATGGAGCCTGTATAGTTACTACTGGGGTCGGTTCAAGAGGAGGTGGTTCTTCAGGTGCCCAGAGTATTAGGTTAGTAATTTTTTCTGCTTTCCATTTTGGAATAACTGGTGCCAAAATTTCCTCCTCCTCCTCCTCTTCTACTTTTTCCTAAAAATCAGATGAATACCAAGAGTAGTAATTTCAAAGAAAAAGGAAATGCTAAGACTTATTTGTAACACACACAGAACTGCATGCTCTCCTTTGCAACTCTCAAAATGTCACACATGCTTGTTACATATCATTTACATTGCTGCAACATGCTTTATGTGAGCTGCCTTTGATGACTGCTTGGAAATTTCATCAGGTTCAGAATGCTGTTGACCAGTTACAGGGTACATCTAACTATGCAATTACTACAGCTACACTGACTGCTGCTCTGTTTGCAGGTGGAGTTCAAAGTGACCCTAAAAGGCTTAGAGCCAAGCTGACTGAAAGACCATACACAGGAAGGTTCTATCATTAAGCCACGGCCACAGATGCTTTCATTAGCTCTGATTTGGACTACTCTGATGTGCTCTACCAGGAGCTGTCTTTGAAAACCTTTCAGAAACTTCAGCTGGACCAATAATACTGCAGCCAGATTGTTGACCAGGGCCAGTTACAGGACACATGTAACTCCCTTGCTACAACAGCTTCACCAGCCACCAATCTGTTTCTTGGCAGAATTTGAAGTGCCACTTATAGCTTAAAAAGCCCTAGCTGGCTTGGGACCAGGCTACCTGAAAGGGCACCTTCTCTCACAGGAGCTTATTCAGGTCTTAAAACCTTTGGGGAAAGGCCATCTTTCAATACTGCCACCTTCATAGGTGTGTTTAATAGTGGTGAGAAAGCCAGCCTTCTCAGTGGCAGCTCCCAGGCTGTGGAATTTTCTGCCAAGGGACACTAGGTCCACCCCTTTTCACCCAACAAGGCTTGTTTTATTCAAGGTGGTCTTAGCATGTTGGAATTTGCTTTTTCATAGTAGTTTAATGCATTGCTTTAGTGTTGTTTTAATCAAGTTTTATTTATGTGTTATGATTATTACATTGCATTTATATCCCGCCTTTTCTCCTCTTGTGAGGAACCCAAGGCAGCTTACACAGCTCCATTTTATCCTCACAGCGACCTCTCTGTGAGGTAGATTGCACTGAGAGTCTGTGACTGGTCCAAAGTCGCCCAGTGAACTGCATGGCCCAGCAGATACTGGAACCTAGAATACTAGAAGTCCCTAGTCCAACCTGTAACCACACCACTACACTGGCTTTCTTTGAACGCCCTTCTTGGTGGAAAGGAAACAAAAATCAGGTAAATAAATAAAGAGGCAGAGTGAAGTATTCTATTCTGGAAGCGGGGGGGACTAGTACTGTAGTGTTGGAGGACAGAGCTGTGTGTCACCCTGCCATCCTGCTGCCTTCTAGTGAGGTGGAAGACATGATCTAGTCACCGTTAGAAATTCAGTTACCAGTCCAATTAGCTTTGGTTCAAGGAAGAGAAGAAACAAGGACCACTTGTCCTCCACCGCGGGCTGCAAAATATCTTGGGTTGATCGTGGAAGGGCTGTGTTCTTCCCTAGAAGCCTGTCTGGGCAGTGATTTCTTCCAGAATGACCTTTTGCTCTGTCCCACTATCATCTGATGTACATTTGGGAAAAACCCAAGGAATGGCCATCTCAGTGGCTGCACCCAGACCTTAACCCTGCCCCTCCCCCTACCCCCCACCCCCACCAGTAAAACAGCCATTCTGTTGTACTATTCGTGAAATCACTATAACCTAGCAATCCACTCACTGGGATTGCAGGTAGTTATCTGAAAACTTTGGGGCTATTTTCCCCATTATCATCTATTGAAAAAGCTGCTTCATTAGTATTAAAATTGTACCAAGCTACTCAAGAGGCTACAAAGAGACCACAAAATGACTAGCTGAATATTAAAAAATGTAGAATTATAAAATATCAATAGATGGATCACAGGAATTCTTTCTTTTCCAGAATTCCTTTCTAACTTATGTCACATGCAAGCAAATCATGCAAACACTCCAAAGCCAGAAAGCACCTCTGTTGCACTAGTTTCTCGGTAGATAAACACTTCAATGGCTGGTTGCTTCTCATAGTTCTGAACAGAAGGCAGTTCTTTGCTGCCTCTTCTCTTGTTTTTGGTTTGCATGAGCTAAGTTGTGAAAAGGAATCAAACAATGAATTCCACAATACAAAATTTTGAAAGTCCCATTTGCAGTGGGGAAAAAAAGCACACATTTTTTTGGAGAGAACAGAATTCAGATTCAAGGAATAAATGGAGGCTTGAGGCACAAGCTTCACAAAAAGCAAAAAGTTTGAAAAAAAGAATGAGTGCATTTCTGAAAACTATACCATGTGTTTTGTTAATGGTTGATGGTCTTCTATAGATCTCAACTGAATACAGTTATTTCCTGCCTCTTCTGCAGGAGATTGTGGGGAGGTGGAGAACCACACTGGATGTTTACACAAAATCTTGACTCCAACTTCAGCAATTTTGCATGCTTAGAATTCAGTATACTAACTTTTAGAAAAGAGAGTCAGATTCAGATTAGAGCTGCAGAACTTAAAGGACATTCTCCTTTATTAGGGTTAGGGTTACAAAAATGAGGTGTCCTGATATGATGTTAATGGCTGGAATGTGTTTAGAAGGGACAGAAATGATGAGCTGTGCAGAAAAACCTACTCAAGGAAGGCTTTTTCAAAATTGTCCTCTTTTCTATGCAACTTTAGCCCTGTATTAGGGTTAGGGGTGTGCACTAGGGTAGGGTTGGGGTTACAAAAACGAGGTGTCCTGGCATGATTTCGATGGTTGCAATGTGCTTACATGGGCAGAAATGATCAGCTGTACAGAAAAAGCTACTCAAGGAAGGCTTGTTCAAAATTGCCCTTTTCAATGGTATTTTACCCTTATATTAGGGGTCAGGGGAGTGCAGCAGTGTAGGGTTAGGGCAGTGGTGGTGAACTTATGGCACATGTACTGCAGTGGGCACACAGAGCCCCCTCTGTCAGCACGTCAGCCAAGTCTCCCCAGCATCACCCCAGCAGCTGAGCATCGGGTAACAGTGCACACACAGGCCATGAGTATGCTCAGAAAGGAGTAGTGGCACCAGGGGGTGACATGATGAACCGTGCCTCATTAGCCGCGACTTGTCCGAGCTTTCACATGGCCAGTCAGTGTGCTCCCAAGGAGATGGCTGTGAGTTGTTTTTTCTAAACTAAAACCTCAGTTTTCAGGTTTTATTGTAGTGTTGGCACTTTGTGATAAACAAGTGGGTTTTGGGTTGCAGTTTGGGCACTCGGTCTCTAAAAGGTTTGCCATTACTGGATTATACTGTTAACCTGCAGAACTTCCACAGAACTGAAATGTCAAAAATATGGTCTGAGAATGCATTTATTTATTTATTTATTTATTTAGGGGACTTCTATGCCGCCCCATTCACCGAAGCTATTATATATTAGAGCTCTGATCTCACATATTATTTTGATCTTAAAGGTTCATTTATGACCATACTGTATGGACACCTAGATGTAGATCCAATCTGAACATGATGACAACTAGTGGGTTGTTAGGGCCACTCAGGAATGAAGGTGTGAACAGTCTCCCACCTGTTTGCCACTTCCACTTTCCATCTGGTTTAGAAAACAGCTCAGGAATACCCCATTCCTGGGTTGTTTGGTACATCATCCAAACCCAGCACTCTGCATTGCTGAAGATGCAACCCAGAGATTTAAACAAACCATTGATCACACAATTATGTGCAAACTGGATTGTAAAAAAGTTGTGTAAAAATTAAAACTTTTCCTGGATGGAAGCAGGACATCAGAACACTGTTCTTTCTTGTATATAGATTTGGCTTTGGCAAAATTAATATGTATAATTTATCCCTAAGTGGGAAATATGATCTAAACAAAATATATGGACAGGGGCTTGATGGCAGAGTACATGGTTTGCATGCAAAAAGGTCCAGGTTCAATCTCTGGCATCCCAAGGAACATCTAGGAAAGAATCTTGCCTGAAATCTAAAAAAGCTGATGCTGAGCTAGATGGGCCAATGGTCTGACTCAGTATAAGCTTCCTTTTTTTCTCAACACAGTGTTTATGCCTGTGTGTTAAATTCCATGGGACTTCAAACTATGTGTGGGTCATGCGTTTAATATCCATGTATCATGGGATTACTTAAAAGAAGCAATTCATGGGCATGTGTTAGGTTACCTGAAATAGGCTCTAAACAAAGAATCATGTTCAAAGAGTGAAAGTGTGGCTTTCAGTTCCTTTTCCATGCAGAGCATTGACTTGCTGGTACAGAGAAGCCTTCATTGCTTTACATAAAGAGCACAGGATAGTGTTCTGTTCTCAGTGAATTTACAGAACTGTGCTATTTTTGAACACCGCAATCTTCTGAAGAACAGCAACTGTATAGGTGCAACATGCTGACATCCTGATGTTACAGATAAGTTCTTGGAAAAGTGCAACTGCAAAGAAAGTCTTCACTCCTTGTATCATTACACCTGTTAATGCTACTAGTGGGGGCAGATTGGTGGTGATATGGTCATAGACAAAAAGCGTAGGGAAGAGGGCAAGCAAGTATTATGTGGTACCTCCATCCACTGTTATAAAGATCAGAACAGTTTTACAGTCAGGTAGTGCTACAGCAACAGGCTAATAGAAGTAATCTATTGACAGTTATTCTAACAACGCAGACCAGATGACTGAATGGATGCTAGTGTAGTTAGTCATGAAAATTGTTGCTGTTGAATTTTAATGTAAAGGAAAGTACATGCCTCTTCACAAGAGTTATTGTTTCAACAAGAATCAGATGAGTTAAAATAATAAATACATTTCTGGGCTTTCTAACCATTAGCATTGTTTATGCTATAATATTTACCTCATGACAGTATTCACCATGTTGTTCACATCCGATATCAAATATATACTTCCCATGGCCCATTGGCTGTATGAAAAAGGAAAAACAAAGAACAAAAACAATGATATTGTCAAAAATATTTCTGACAATATTAAAGGCATAAAAATACCCCAAACTGTTTTATACTATAGCATAGATGGCATCTGCACAAAACGCTCTTCTGCATTGTGCATGGGAAAAACAAATCATTCTCTATGAAAAAAGAAAAGAGATGGACAGAAATCTGGTACCAGAAAGAGCTAGTTATTCATATATAAGCTTGGACAGAATTGCCACAAACTGCATTTCTGAATTGCATTTCCTGTCCTGACTGTTAACATCCCCCCTTCATACTCCTGTATACCTCAACTGAAGTTAACAAACACTTCATGCATTTGATGATGTAGACTCTAGTCCTCAAAGCTTACGCCATAGTAAATTTATTAGTCTTCAAAGTGGCACAACATTCTTAGTTGTTTTTGCTGTAACTGTTATGAAATGTACACCCTAGGGGTCCCCAATGTGAAGCCCACAGAGACTTTTCTTGGCATCCATGAAGCTCTACTCTCTACTCCCTGTCCCTTTAAGGATGTATTCTCTCATTTAAAAAATCAAAAAAGGTTCGAGTGCTAGCTCCTTCTTCCACTGAACCTGAACCTGCCACTGACCCACTGTTTAACAAGAAAGAATTGCTTCTTGGCCTCAACCAGTCCTCTGTCCTCATGGACCTCTCTCCTCCTCTCTCTCTACTCCCAGCCCCTACCCTTATTTTTCTCCCATTCTCATCCCTAGTCTTCTTTTTCTCTTTTCCAAGCCCTATCTTTCTCTCCTATTCACCCCTTTTTCTTCCTGTTTCTATTCACTTTCAGCTTCTAACCCTACTCATTTTTCCTATCCTTTTCCCTTGCCATTTCTGCCTCCCTACCCCACAGGCTTGAGCAGTGTAATCTCTCTCCCCCACCCCTATTTTGAAAAGTCAGGAACAGAAACAGGTTTATATGACTAGCCACATCTTCAATAAGAGATATGTTGTGAAGCTCCCCACAGCAGTTTCTCAAACTCCTAAATGTGTCCACAGGTCTGAAAATGTTGGGGAACCTTGCTATATTTAATTCATCTATTTATTACATTTATAGCCTGCCTTTTTTCCTTTCAAGGAAATTTATATAAATCTACTTCTCTCAATCTTATCCTCACAACAACCCTGTGAGATATGTTGGTCAGAGAGTTCATGCCTGTCCCAGTTAGTTCTGTGGCTGAGTGGGGACTAGAATCCAGATCTCCTGAGTCCCAGGCCAGCATTCTTATCCACTGTCCCACACTGGTAGATATATATCTACCAAAATAAAACATATTATCAGGCTACTCATAACCTCTTGAGCAGCTTCATATGGACAAGGAGAACTACCCCCTCACTAAAGTGAGTGAAAAACACTTGTTCACATGAAGCTCTGGGTGAGCACTGCAAATCATCTGTACACAAGTTGCTGCTGGCTATCAGGACTATCACTCCTTGGAAAGGGGGACTAGACACCAAATAGCCTGAAGATGTTACTCAGTATGTTCGGTTAAGAAATAAATGATGAAAGATAACTTGTAAGCATTCTGAGATCAGTACTAATTCTAACATGCATACATGTTTATTCACAAACTTCCCCTGGAATCTATGGTTGAGGTGTACGACTTCAGCAGATCCTTCTTGTTGTCCATTTGCCCAGGTGCCAACATATTTAGAGCCAGTTAGTGCATAGAAATATGTACCTTGTCCATGCCTGTGGAGAGACAAAAACTTTGCATTAAACAAATGGAAAACCCTAATCCTAGTTCGGAACATGAGAGCTCTCTCCCTAACATTGTCTTCATATACCCTGAGATAATCGAGGAAATGCAATGATTGATTTAAACTGGTTATTAGATTATTTCTAACAAAAGTCTGGTTTGAATACCAAATTTAAACTAAGACTGCAGTCCAGCACACACTTACCTGGGAGTAAGCCCCACTGAATTCAACATGACTTACTTCCAATTATGCATAGGATTTCACTGTTTATTTCCTCTTTTTAATATTATATGTTTCCTGACTACAAATATATATGAACTAGATGCTACAACAGTTAATGCATACTGGTTTTCAACTAAATAGAACCTTTGTTTTTAATCGTTTTAGTCTGTACCTGAGAGCATTTGAGAGACATGGAATACTCAGGATCCTGACTGAAGGCTGGTTGGAACTCTCAGCATACATTCTCCTACAGGGTGCAACTTTTGTTTCAAATGCTGTTTGCACTTCCTCCAAACTAACATCCTCCAGATGTGTTAGATTGCAAGATATACCATCACCACCTGCACAACCAATGCAGACTTTGAATGATAAGAACTACATTCCAATAAATTTGGAGGACATGACTTTGGGGAAGACTACACTAATATTTAAAGTTCATCAATAATATTAATAAAAAGAAACTCGAAACTTCACTGAAGCAAACCTGTAGTGATTGAACCACTCTCCAGTATATGTATCTCCATTTACATAGTAGTAAACTCCATTACCATGTCTTTGGTCCTCCACCCAGTCTCCTGCATTGAACAGGATAAAAACATATACATTGACGCACAGAAATACACATACTTCTTTGTAAGCCATAGTACTCAATCTCTGGCTTGATTTCATCATGTAAACACACATTTCCTGGAATAAGAATGTGCTCAAATACAAATATTGGATTAGCATACCTCACTAAAAGTTAATTTGATCTTCTTGTACTGCTGCTGACACTGCTCTCTCATTCACACATTTGAACATATATCAGAGTTGTTGCAAATTCTATCACTCCAATGTACAATTCCTTTACCAGAAGTAATCTTCTATTCCAAGCAGCAATAATAACAAGATAAACCGGAATAACTGTGCAGCTGATGGAGGACTGATGTGATGTGCTCTCTAGGACCATTCCTTGTGAACAACCTCACTGCTCTGCTTTGAATTAAATGTGGCGAGGCTCCACTCATCCAAGTAGGAACGTAGCTGAAAAATCAGCCAAAACTGAGAGAAGGTGCTCTGAGTCACCAAGCACATTTGAAACAAGTGACAATTCAGGATCCAGAAGCACCCCAAGCTACTTTGTCCTTTAGGGTGCATGTGACCCCAACCAGGCCAGATTGAAAATTTCTCAGTTGGGCAGAATAATTGCCTACCAACAGCCCCTCAATTTTGGCTGGATTGAGCTTCAGCTTATCAGCCCCCACCCGGTCCATTACTGAGTCCAGGCCCCAGTTAAGAACAGTCACTGCCTCCCCTGGATTAGAAATGATTGAAGTCTGTGGTATAGCAAGTACAGAGGGAAAATGAAGATTTAATAAGCCTTTGGCTTGTTGAATTAAGTATCCACTACTCAATCCATTGTTCCCAACTGCCACATTCTTTCATTCATGCACAGGGGCACAGTTGTGCAGGTTTCACTAGCCATCAGAATCCTCACAATTGTATCTGAGCAAAGAAAATATAATTTACCTTCATATTTGGATCCATCAGGATATATAAAGACACCATGGCCATGTTTTTTATTGTCAAAATATTCTCCTGTGTAGCGTGCACCATTTTTAAATCTGTATAGTCCCTGAAACATACACATTGCATAGAGTCTTGTTCATTCACAGGGAAGTTTTACTTCAGTGCCTAAGTTAGGAAAATAGCAATTATATGCAAAGAAGCAGGATCTGTCACAAAATGTTGCAGCACAGACTTCTGTTCAGGTTTTCAGCCATCCTATTCCATTCTACCATCCCTAGCTGTATTTCTCCTCCAACTGTCAATCAGTGTCCAGTGCTTACTGAGAACTGCTCAGTCTCTATTACACCACTTTTTGGTGTATCCCCCAAATTTCTTTTATACTTCTGCAAACTTTGGGGAGGGCATCAAAATCGGATGATACCTTTCTCTTGCGCATAGATGGCACACTTTTGGCCATTTAAGAATTGGCACTCTCACAGACTGAACTTGCTATTAGCAATGAGCAAATCCTTTTCAAAATAAATCTTACCTGCCCATTTCTTTTACCATTTGCATATTCTCCTTCATAGGTATCACCATTGGGTAATCTGGCCTTTCCATGGCCATGCCGTTCACCAGCTTCATTGCGTTCACCTTCATATTCCTACACAAGTAGGCACAATACTTACTATTGTGCTAAAACAGAGAAGCTAAATTGATATATTTGCTTATAAACAACCATTACCATGTTTTAAAAGTAAATGCTTCAAGTAAATGTTGATTATAAACAAAGTAACCAAGCCATTGGTCCATGTAAGTCAATATTTACAGAATGGTAGTCTTAAAGATGCCACAACAGCTTTACTTGTTTCTGCTGCAACAGACTTCACACAGTCATGCCTCTGGAAAATGGGTGCCAATGGCTTCCCAAGATTTCAAATGTGAGTCATTCCCAGTCATAACTAGAAACTGGATCCAGGTCTCTTGAATATAAAGGATGTTTGGCCACTAAATTGGGGCTCCATGTAAAACAGGTATGCATATAAAATAAGTTATATATTTCAAATGTTTCCTTAACATTTAATCTGTTAATTAACAGGTGTTAATCTTAATTTTCTCTTTTTAAAATGTTAATCTTAATTTTAAGATCTTCTGACACTGCAATGTTCCCTTAGATTGTATTTGACTATCCTTTTGCCCTAAAATTATTTTAATTAAATAATTCCATGGTTTATATCATGCTAGCATCTTGAGCAAGAGCTTAAATCTTAATTGATCTTAATCTTAAGAGCTTACATCTTAATTGTGTTCTCTCAGAATCTAGAATTCTTTGAAAAATCCTAAATTCTATTACCACACATCTTCTATTTGTTATTTAATTCAGCTTACCCCAGTGTGGTGTTCTCCAGCCATGCTGGCTGGAAATGAAGAGAAATGCAGTCCAGAACAGCAGGAGGGCACCAGGTTGGAGAAGGGTGATTTAAATAAATCATGTTAATTAAACATTCCCATTTCCACACATCCATAAAGTTATAGAACTTAGATGTTTTATTCTTGTATGTGATGGTGGAAGAGATCAAGGACCAGAAGACAATAATGTTTATTCCTAAAAGGATGAGATGAGAGACTAGAGCAGCCTTCCTCAACCTGGTGCCCTCCAGGTGCTTAGCACTTGAACTCCCAGCTGGCTGGGGCTGTTGAGAGTTCAAATCCAGATCCTCTGAAAAAGAACTAAGTTGCACTGGGCAATACTCATTCATATTTTGGAGACAATTCTGTATCAAATTCCCATCATTAATTATTAGTAATTCATCATCTTCCACTTTAACTTTTGCTTTGTGGCCTGGTTAATGCTTTGCTTGGCCAAAACGTTTTCATCACCAACCAAACACCGCTTTCTTTATTCAACCAGTTCACCATGGGGAGGATTTTTAGTCGGATGACGTTAATGTCTATGCATATCCACTCAGAAGTGCGTCCCACGGCAATCAAGGGGTTCATTCCACAGTAAATGTGCTTTGCATTTCTGACTCATTTATGCACATACACCACCCGCCTAGTACCTGAGCCTTCTTTCTCTCCTACATGATCTTCGCTCCACCCCCGTCTCCCGCCCCCGCACTCAGTACTGACCCCCAAATCATTCTCTGCCTCCTCTTCGATCTCTTCAGAGCCGAGATCCGACATGCCTCAAGCAGGCCCTATCACCATGGAAACGGCGTCCCGGTCGGACCCCGCCCCCTCCCGGACCTTCCGAGGCGAGATCCTGGAGTTTAGTCACCATAGCAACCATGGCTTGTGCCCTCGATTCGCCGGCGCTTGCCCCGCCTCTCCTCTTCCGGCTGGCTTTGCCATTGGTCCGTCGTGTGACAGGCGGGCGGTACTTTCGACGCGAGCGCGCAGCGGGTGCTTCAGGCGTTCTAGGTTTGCGTTCCTTGCATAGCTACGCGATAGGCAAAAACTTCACAGGTGCGGTACTGCCCAGGATTGGCATGAAGGGACAGGGAAAGGTGCACGCCTTGAATTGCTAGATTAGCCTTTCCTCAACCTGATGCCTTCCAAAAGTTTTGACTTCGACTCCCATCAGCCCCAGCCCGCATGGCTAATACTCAGGAATTTGCACGTCGGACTTCCCGACTGTGCTGCAAAACAATTTGGTTCATTCAGAGATACGTTCCACTGAGTTCCGTGATTTACTCCCAAGCAAATTTGCAAGGGATTGCAGCCAAAATGAGCCTCATTGGCTGCTGGAATAACACTCGGGTTTTTAATTTAATTATTGTAACACTCATATCCTGACTTTCTTCCTCCAAAGAGACAATGGTGGCATAATTATTATCCTCCTCTCCCTGTAATCTTTACAACAACCTTGTGAGGTAGGTTAGGCTGAGAGTCACTCCGTGAGTTTTATGGCTAAATTGGGATTTGCCCCAGTCCAGCATTTTAAACACTAAATCACAGTGCCTTTTTTAAGGTAACAAAATAGTTTTTTGGGTGTTCAAAGATAGGCTGGACATGCACATGATAGGCATGTCATGAGCAGAGCCGGCTGGAGCCAGGGGTCAGACTAGATGGCCCTGGAGGCCCCTTCTGACTTGCTCTATGTTTCTAATTCAGGTTTAATAAGAAGGAAAAGAATGAAGGGCAGCAATGGAAAAAATGCAGTAAATGCAGAGATTTAGTATATAAATGTAATGTACTGAGTTTATAAGTAGAAGTTATGTTGAAGGTAAGCACTTCAGAAATTAAGTGCTCCTGACTTTTTCCAATCTGAGTAATTGGCAGAATTTAAAGCAGATATTTAAAACCATTTCACTTCCTATTTTGATTGTACATTTGGCCAGAGGGGCAGAAAGAGGATAGTGGAATAGGAAAGTTTAAATAGATAATTACTTATATATCTGTCCAGAAAACAGAAGGCGGCTCTTGAAAAATGCATCTTTAAAGTGCACTTTTTCATACCTGCAGCTGGCCAGAACTGGAGTGTGTGTGTGTGTGTGTGTGTGTGTGTGTGTGTGTGAGGGTGAAGCAGCCAATCCAGAATTTATTGGACTATGTTCCGACATTACAGATAGCAATGCTGAGTATGAACTAAGTAAACCTCTGCTTTTTAAAGGCATACAAATTACATAATGTAATTCGGCAGCTTCAGCTTTCCCTACTACTGTAGTTACAGTTAAATACTATATCAGTTGAATTTCTGCCTGTCACAGTTTTTCAGGTGTAGGTGCCCTTTTCCCAAAAATACTGTACTTTGAAACCTTTATGACTTTTTTTAACTTTGAGAGTGGAGATCACTCTTGTTTCTAATGGAATAATAAAAGAGAGCCTCAACACCCACAGTTTGTATATCGGAGTTTAGAAATCTGAATTATAAATGCAACCAAAGTACTTTCCATTTGCTGATATTTTTAGACTTCTACAGTCTGAGTTTTTACCTCTTCTAATTATTTGAGATGAAAATAAATTGTTTGTCTGTGCAACAGGTAAGTGTAAAAAACTCATTTTCTGTGTCACCTCCAGATTAGAATTAGTTCTTGGAGCAACAAATTAAATTGCTTTCAATATTTCCAAATCCACTAGCAACCCCAACCTGAAACACTAGCCCTTTACTTGCTTTAAACTTATAGATTATTTTTACCTTAATTACAGTTAGTTGAATTTGCTTTTCTCTCTTCTGCTTTGTGTTTATACCCATCTTTCTCCTTTCCTCTTCCTGCCCTCTCTCCAAAAGATGGCAGCTCAAGTCCATGGCCAGCAGTTGAAGACCAATTAATCAAAAGATAAACGTGAAGGCATGCAGCCAACCAAATTTTGTGCATTGGCTGCCACAGGCATAAAAAGTTGTATCATTTATCTGTTTATTTATAAACAAACTCCCAGCTGCCATAGACATAAGCAAGCTGCATGTAGTTATCTGTTTATTTATTGTTTTATTTACATATTTATTCTTTGCTAGAAAGGGCAGGAGAGTGTCTATTTTGGAAACAGGTTTACACACCCTTTTTGTGGGAGAGATGTCAGCAGGGAGATGTAATTATAAGAAGGAAATGGTGACACCAGTTAAATGTTTTATTACAGAGCTGCTGTGAGCTTAACAGATAGTAACTGTATTTAGAAATGCCATGCCCATTTACTTCAGAGCTGGTTTCTCCATGCAGGTTCCTTCACCACCAGAAATGACTTCTGTACATTTGCAAAATCTGGGGTCCCCCCACTAAGTCTGCTTATATCTGCCTCTTGTCTGCTGTTATATAAGGATATAAAGATTCACACTCAGAGAATGAGTTTATTAGGGAGGAAGGGGATATATAGCTCATAGCTGAAAGGCCTCCTCTCCCTCCACCCCCCACCCCCTGGTTTCAGGCAGAAACTGGTATTCCATTGCGTGTTTTGGTTCCTATTGTTTACTTCCCTCTCCACACCAGTTTGGTTTTGGTGGCCACCAAATAGCAGGAAAGGAAGAGCTCTTCAGAAGAAATCTTTACTCAACTGACAAGAAGTCTGGCTGTGATCAGAGGCGGAGGAAAAGTGGAGTGATGTCTTCAAATATTTTCTTGCTTCTGTTTGTCTGTAGACACCTACACCGGAAAACCATACGAAATGAGAACCTTTTCGTTTTATAGGAATGTAACTATAATAACAACTTACAATTACATCATAACATGAAAATAACATCCTCTAATTCATGGCAAGGATTCATAGATTATCTTTGTTTGAATTATTAATGTGTTTTACTGTTATCTCAGCAATCCCTTGTACAATTCTGCAGTAAAAGGCATTCTTGTATATGGTGAAAAGGTACACTTTGCTGAGGGCAAGCAGTATGAACTAAGATTTAAACCAGGCACTTCTAAATTACAGATTGTATTTTAAATATTATACTCCCAGATGCCAGTTCTTATATAGTAACTTACTGCTTTATAAGTGGAGATCTCTCTATAAACAAATAAAATGAGCTAAATGCTCACATAGCAAAAACTACTCAAAGCACCTTGGTGCTCTTTTCTGCTAATGCCTGAAAGCTATTATTGTTTATAACAGTTGTTTGTTGTTTATAATAGTAGACAGAAATTAATGTAATCTAATCCAACATTTATTTCCCTGCAAGTGAGTCACTGTTAATGGTCATTGCAGTCAGGCAGAGCTCTTCCTATGTTTTCAATCTATTTTTGGAATGGACATATTATACCAGGAATGAACAACTGGTTTAATCCCCAAAATCATATCAGAAATATAGCCCAAGCCAAATACCACAGATAATTTGTATATTGTGTTCATAGGATTAAAAAAATTCCCATAATTCCATGTATGCATGCTTTAATTAGCTTGAAATCTTTATTGGATACTGCTATGCTGAAAATGGGTTTAAGACTAGAAATCATAACAAACTGAACTTGAATTAGTTGCACAAGCTATATAATAGCACTGAAGCATCATCTACTTTTCTTTTAAATGAAGCAGCTCCCACTGAACCACAGGGTATCTAATTGTGTTTTAGAAACTACTGTGCTGAACAGGAGAAAAGGCAACTGCATGTGACCTTATCTAAAGAACATCAGACCTGGGTCAAATCCTGCCTACCCAGGGTCCCCATCCAGTCCCCTGAGATGGTCACATCCTCTTGCCCAGAACTTAGGGGGTAGTTTCCTGGTTTATGTGCAGTTTTTCCACTGTTTTAAAATGCTGGAATGCCTCTCCCAAGGCATAGTTACTGGCAGTAAGAGCTTTAAGCAAACATATGCTGAAATGTTTAGTATCCAGCTCTTTTTGCCTAGCCCTTTGGTCCCACCTAATACTGGAATACAGCCACTGAGAGTTTCTTCCACATGGAATTTTACCCTTGATCCAAAAGAGGTTCTGCACTTCTCATCCCTAATTGATCATGCCAATTGCCTCTTTTGTCCTAGCTTCTTTCCAATAATCATACAGACACTTATCTGGAACTATGCCTTTGATTTTAATTAGTTCTCCAGGCTTGGGTCCAGGCAAAAGCATCTCAGGGCTGTGCATTGTTTATTAAAGTTTTGGCTCAGAGGTTTTCTCCAAGATGCTTAACTTTATCACTGATCATTAACAATCTCTTACACATCTAACTGCATGCTCCTGTGCCTGTATGTTCCATTATATTCAGTAGTGTTTACTCCCATATAAGTCTGCATAGAATACAGCCTAACAGTATTTAATAACATCTTCCCCCTCCTCCTTTTTGAGCTATATTTCTGAAATAAATTCGTCCATGTAGCTCCAAGATGCACGAGAGGCAAAAAACAAAATGATATCCCCTAGCAGTTCATAAGACAGCATGATCCACTGCACTTCAAGGCAGCAAACTAGCTTAGGGGGTGGAGGACAAGCCACATAGCCCACCACTCTTTCCTCCAGAGCTTTTGCTGCAACCTCCTGGCAGCTGCTGCCTTGGGCAACTGCCAGATGGTAGTGCCAGCCCTGCAGAGTGGCCTTGGGCCAGTAGCTGACTTTCAGCCTAACCTTCCTCACATAACTGAAGAAAGAATAAAATGAGAAGGATACTCATGTTCATCACCCTGGGTTCCTGGAAGAAAGGCAAGATTTAAATGCACCAAACGACCAGCAATTGAGGAAGTACTACAAAGATGTGGTACCCAAAGACTCTCTGAGTTGATAACAGAACGAAGAATGCATTTTGCTGGACATGTGCTTTGCATGAATAAACAACATCCTGCTAAGATTGTAATTAACTGGATCCCATTAGATAGTCAGAGGAGGAGAGGAAGACCAAAAAAGACCTGGTGTCAAACATTCCAAAATGACCTAAGAAGCATCAACCTTGAATAGAAGGATAAAGAACTGGTTGCTGTAACCTGATGTGCTTCTCACAGGATGTAAAGAGGAAGAGACAATCAACAATTTTCAGAGGAGTGTTGTGTTGGTCTACAGCAGCAAAAGCAACAAAGGGTCTTGTTTTAAAAACTAATAGATGTATTAAGGCATAAGCTTTCTTGGATTACAGCCAACCTCAGCAAAGGCATGAAGTATTACCCAAGGTTACACACACACACACACACACACACACACACACACACAGAGTGTGTGTGTGTGGGGGGGCAAGCAAACTGTTAACAGTGAGGTCAGAGGGAAACGACATGAAGTATTTACAGCCATGACCAATATGATAATTTAATAATGGCCACCATTAATAATTGTCACTATTTTACTTTCGGCATGCCCTTTCCTACATCACTGTTAACAGCTTATGCCATAAAACATTGGTTAAAATTAAAGATGCCATAAGACTTTTTGATGCTTTTTCTCTGGGATATATATTTGACCAAGAGGACACATTCTGATGCCAGTGCTACAGAGGCAGTTAGGGAATGGGCTGCTAGGGCTGGAGCCCTAAATCTTGCATTTGGAGTCCCAGACCCTTGGGAAGCCCTCTGCCCACCCCCTGCTATCCATGTTTGGCATTACTGAGTGACTTGCCTAGGCCTGAGTCCTGAATCTTTTGAGCAAGATCTTAAGAGTTGCCCCAGGTTCCATCATCTGCCTGAATACAAGCCTGTTTCTGCCATCAGTAGGACACCTCAAGGCTCAATCATACAACTAGCAAACAAACAGGAACTGTAGTGTGAAGGCACCGGCTTCTTAAACCAGAGGGGAGGCTGCCCTTCCCTTCCACAGGCTGTTGGTTATTTTCATTAAGTCTTCCAGAGACCAGCACTGGTAACAGCACCACCTTCACTGAGCTCTCTCAGAATGTGCCTGACCCCAGGGACCCCAGGGAGACCCAAAGCCCTGGCGAGAACAGCAGGGACATCGGCTGCTCACCTATCAAGTGGAGTACCAGAAGATCCGTTTATATGAGAAGCCCGGCTTCATGCTTAGATATACTCCGGTCTATGCCTTTTACTCGTAAGAAAGGAAGACGGGGATGGGGGAAGCTCCTCCCCGCGCTCTCTGACGGAAGTTTTGACATTTGCCGCCACGAGTCATGCCTTAGAGCGCCCTTCTTTGGCGGAGCCCGGCAAGCCGAACGGGTTCTCGCGGCCAGTCTCGCCTTACTCAAAGACCGGCCCGGCGTGAACGAAGCGAAACCGCGTCTAAACCAGGAAGTCGCTGCTCTCAAGAACTGCGCCTCCGCTCCAGACAGCCCCGGAGGGGGACACCCCCCGCCCCGCTCTCGCCATCATCATCGGCGCCATCCTTTCAGGTAGGAGGAGACCCCCGAGGCCGCCCCCGCGCGCCCGAGCCCCCAAGAGGGCACCCCGAGGGCAGGGGGAAGGCGCGGGGAGCTCCTTTCCCTCCTCGTGGCCAGGAAGGCGCCTCGGCCCGGGCTCCGTGCGTGTTCCCCTCGGAGATGCACCTGCGGCCGGCGAGGCTGCCTGGCAACCGAGTCGGCGAGCCAGCGGCGCCCCGGCAACGCAGCGCCCGCTGCATGGGCAAAAGCGGGCGGGCTGGCGCGCGAGATGCCTGGGCGCTTCCCGGGCACTGCCTTGTCTCTCGCCGGGTCCTCCGCGCGCCCCTCCGGCACTCCTGGCTGCCTGGGCGGGTGATGCGGAATCTCCTCCAGCGCCGGGGCCAGTCCCACTCCCACTCCGAGCAGTTCCCGTGGCCGCGCTCCAGGGCAAGGCGGCTGGGCCGAAAGTGCCACAGAGTGCGGTGGTTTAAAGCTCTCGCCGTCAGCAAGGAAGCCTTAAAGCGACTGGGGTGGAGGGGGGGAAGCGGCGCCAAAGCCGGGGAAACGCCGGACTCGGGGAAGGGGCGTGGCCGCCTAGGGAACCCGAAAAGGACAGACTGAGACTCCTGGAGAGCTGGGTTTGGCTCCACGTCCTGAGGTTCTCCTCCTGTTTTAGGGTAAATATGTAGGGTCACTGAACGATATTTAGCTTCTACGGGTGTAACCTTGCTTGGGATTAAGCTCCACTGAATTTAGTGGGACTTAATTCTGAGCAAACATGCAATGGACTTGTGCTGGAAGACGGAAATTTTGTAACTCTTTACCTAGGAGTGGACTGCGCTTAAATTAATGCAGCTTGCTATTGAGTAGGCATGCATAGGAATGCACTGTTGTGCCTTAAGCTATTTACAAAATACTGTCTCTTTCAGTTTACTCTTATGAGTGACTATACATTCCACTTTGTGGAGTTGCTTTCCTAGGTAAGTTCCCTTGTGTCTTCATTGTTTGATGGGCAGAAAGTTATTGTTTTGCTATACGTTTAGGATATGATTGACTTTGCAGTTGGTTTTACTGCTTTCTGGAAATATGACTGAAAGGTTGAATGTAATTTTTTAAAATAAATAAACAATTATGCCATTTTAGTGAGGTGGCATTATTAGAATTATTTTTTCCATTCAGCTGTATTGATAAAGAGTTGTATTTTATTCTGGATAGATTTATACCTTGCCCTGTTTTTAAAAAAACTAACTTCATGGAAGTTTCCACGGTTCATTTTTGTTGCATAAATTTTTAATCTGGAATGAGTCACATATAAAATTGGTTATGCCAAATCATGATGGGCGAAACAGATTTTTAAAAAATTCAGTCTAGTCATAAAAATGTTAAAAGTCTCCCTCTCAACATTTGTATGATTAGGAAAAATGTATTGGATTTTTAAAAGTGCTTCTCCCACTTCTGCACCTGACATTTCAGAAAATTGTAAAAGAGGCATCCAGTGTCGTGGCTGCTTCACAGCCACATGTTGGGGGAATAAAATATGGATCAGAGATCCAGCTAAGGTGAAGGCTAAAGTCAATTTCTAGCTGCTGTATTGAATAAAACAGAAAAAATTAGGGACAAATTCATGCCTTGTAGCTAGATGGAATCAGTGGTAGTTTACCTGATTGCCACAGGAACAAGAATTAGTTGCATGGATGATACTTCCTGGAGAAGCCATTATCTCATAAACTGCATTTCTGGCAAGTTGCAGGCCCTGCTTTTTCTGATTATTTGCCAAGAAAGTTGTCTTCTCTGGCTCATTTCTGACCAACTTTCAAAATCTTTTCAGCAGCTGTTTCTTAGATTGCATGTCCCTGGCTTTTCCAGGACTTTTAAGAACTGCAGAAATGCAACCGTTTGAAATCATATTAAATGCACAGTAAGTGTGTTACAGAAGTTATGATGTTTTTGTTTGGCAAGACTACAACTTCTTTTCTGACAAAGTTTACCAGTTACACATGTACAAATATTCAACAGGTTAAATGTTTCTAATTGCCCATCTCCATGCTGAGACAACTACATCTATTGAATTTCTGTCCATCACTCAGCTATTAAGGGCTCAAGGGTCATTTGAGAAGAGGTGTTTTTCTTGTTCCAAGACATTTTGCAGAGGTCTACTGTGCTCTCCCTGTCTCTGAAATACCAAGCAGGCCTTGAAAACATGTATTCCTAGTATGTCTACCATCAAGTTAGCAGTGTGCTCTGTTGTCCATTTAGGCATTATTTGGCTGGATTCACACTGTTGAAAACATATCACTTACAGTTCTAGAAAAATTTGACAGCAGGCTGCATTCCTCAGACATTTGTTTAAAGGTGGACCCTCTATTATCCCTGAAAAAGTTGCAGTCAGGTGGCTGGCATTTTAAAGTGAGTATAAAAGTTGCTTAAAGAACTAGGATCCAGAGTCCTAGGTAGACTCAGCTGGGACACTTTTCCCTTGGCTTCATTCAGTGGCAGCACACTTAATATATAGGTAGTAAGTGACAGAATACTGGGAAAAAAGGATGTATAGTTTAATATTTAAATTGTATTTGGGTGATTTTACTTGATGTGCTTTCTTAATGATGTTTGCTTTGCTCTTTTTTCTTATATTGGCATAAAAATGCTAAAATTTAAGAAATGCTTCATTATATAGGGATTCACAAACTTGCATTAAAATTCTTCCTTCTTATTGAATTGCCCTGCATCTATATTTTCATCACATATTTACTGAACCTGGTAAATGTTGTTACTGCGTTAATGATGACTCTGAAACACTTTTTTAAAGGTATGCACTCAAAAAGCATCTTCACATAGTGATGGTTGAGAACATCAAGGAAAAAATGTAAAAAACATTGCCAGCATGACATTCTGTTTACTGATAACTTGGAGCAAATCTCTGAAGCACTAGACTAGCTAAAATTTGAAACTAGTACTGAAAGTAAATGGCTGAGCTTCCACCTGGGATTCGTTTGGTTACATCATTTACGAGAGACCAGTGGTAAGTTGCATTCAATTGTGTGAAAAGAACAATTGACCTGATCTGGTTTTGTTCTCATATTTTGTATTTGAATATCCATTGGTACAATAAGATCACACAATAACACATACATTATTGTGTTATTGTTACTTGTGAGCTGCCCAAAGAACCCTTGAGCTATGGGGTGGCTTACAAATGTAATAAATAAATAAGTAAATATGTTAAAATGTGTATTTCTTCTTGATTTGGTGTTGCATTGCACTATAATATTTCACTAATTTAGTAATATGCTTGACTTTGGAGACTCAGTACTGGGAATAGGCGGAATATGGAAATGACCGTGATGGCCTGCACTTGAAATTATTACTGCACAGTTATTCATACACAATAAACCAGGTTTCCTCATACTTACTGTGGTGTATGAATCCAATAAGTAAATAACTCTGGTTTACACTGTGCTTCGGAAGATAAAGCCTTTTTACAATGAATGGTTACATTTGAAAGAAAAATGTTTTCTTTATGTAGATATTTCTACATGCTTATAATCTAATATAGTGATACTCCTAACGTACTGTATAATATAATTACAGGGCATTATTCACAAACCCTTTGCACTAATACAATCTCAAATACCTAGGATTAGGATTGCCAGCTGAGCAGAAAGAAACTGATTTGTTCTTATGTCTATAGCGGCTTGATGTACACAATTGTACCGTTTTTACAGTATGGGAATTAGCTGGTGATAATATTCGTATCTAGTCATGAGCTGCTTGAAAAGCTGGCTATCCTACCTGGGTTCTGAATATTGCTGAGCCCAGAGGCCATTCATTGGCTGTCAGCAATGCCAGGGAGCTGTTCTGACTCATTCAAACAGTCAAGCAGCCTGCTCAGTTTCAATTATGCTTAAGGCTTGCTAGGTCACAGATGCCTGGACTGAAGGCTTGTATCTATGTAGCATATTTGCAGGTTGCCCCCTTGTTCAAGGGTGGGAGGCCTGTGACTCTCCAGATGTTGCGAGACTCTGGTCCAGCCAGTATGAACCAAGGATTGCCAAGGAAGACCACAGTTAACCTCCGACAGCATCTGGAGAGCCATAGTTCATCACCCCACCCCCTCAAGCTGCAGTTAATGGTGAACATCTTTCTTTGCTGTTTATCTTGGAAATGACAATAAAGCCCTTTCTCCAAAACTATTCAATTAAATAGTTTTTCAGTTGTGGAGCATAGTGAGGACTGTGCAACATAAAATCAGAAATCACTCAGGGCACAATCCTATGCAGGTTTAGACTGAAAAATTGCTATAACTCTTGGTATTATTCAGCCAGCATTGGGACTGCGCTTTTAACATACATTACCTGATCTTTCAGTGATGTTTGATTAGTCTCAAAATCTGTGATAGAATGAAAATAAATCTTTAAAAAGTGAATATAGCAACTGAACAAAATTTGACCTATACATCAGGAAATAAAAATAGCTGCAAACCATGGAATGTTTGTTCTGTTGCAGGTACAGGGCTTTCACATTTGTCCTGACTTTTATGCTGTATGCTAGTTTCCACTTATCAAGGAAACCAATCAGCATAGTTAAGGTAAGCAATAAGGAAATAATTGTGTAACATATCCTGCTGATGTCAAACAGGGAAGTACTTCTTACACATGTGGTATCACCATATACATTACAGAGCATGGCAGCAATAAAACTGCCAGTATCTGAGTAATAAAACTGAATACAAGTGTTTATACAGATTAAAACTCTACAAAGAGCTTCAGTGCTGCATATAATTTTGTATGCCTCTTCGCGATGATATACATGACCTGTTAAGATATATGTACCACACATACAAAAGCGGATCAAAATATCATTTTAAGTGGTCCAAATTGAAAATAAGATGGACTAAGATAGTCCCCAGATCCTGCCAGCCGGTCTCATCATGACTGAGGCAGATGATCAAACTCCCATCAGGGCTGTAATGGCATGTTGAGACTACAGGTTCAAGCACTGGCATCTATTTAGATTTAATTTGTGACTCATGCCTTTCTTCACTCAACGCCCTTCTTTCTGTATGCAAGCTAATTAGGAATGCTTTGCCATCTGTCAGTTTTACTTTATTATTTTAGATTATGTCTTTCTCTTCTTTTCAAAGGAATAAAAAGTGATACGCATTGTTCATTCCTCTCTCTTTTCAATGATATCTGAATAACAACCCTATGTTGTAGGATAGGCTGAGAAAGAGTTACTGGCCCAGGGTTAGCCTGTAAACTTCCTGGCAGAGTAGCTGAGTCTCCCAAGTACTAGTTGGATCCTCTAATCCAATCTTTCTCTAACACTGGTCTTCATATATTGTTGGACTACTATCCCTATTATCTTTGACATCTGTCTGCTGCCTGGGGACAACAGCAGTTGTATTCCAGCAGCTTATGGAAACCAGAGTTTGAAATGGATGTTCTAGCCTCTGGACCACAGATGAGATTCTGCTGCTGTTCTTTATCCAGCAAATAAATCCATGAATAAAAATCTGCATGAAAGAAAATGATAGCAAGAAAATAAGCTGTGTCTTGTTTTCCAGTCCATGAATTCCCCAGACTTGTCCAAATACCAAACAGAGCTACACAGAACACACGTGTTCAATCATCCAACATGAGTCATAGACCATAATTTATATTCATGTGTTCACTAGAACATTTCTATCCCAATTTCATAATGGTGCTCTTCACTTAGCTTACAGTCAAAAATCCCAAGATCACTTTGGCAATTGAAAGCACACACTACACACAGTAGTCACACACTACACAGTCATCAGCAAAATAAACTCACTCCAGGGCATCTATAGGTTACAACAACTGAGAACATTTGAAACCAAGAGCACACATTACTCATAAGTCCCATTTTAGTGGGACTAAGAACAATGGATGCCCACTGGATTGGGGCAATATCTTATCTTGGAAGAGAAAGTGGTTATAATCTCTCCTTAAATTCCCCTTTCTAAATGTGTAAGAAATGGAAAGAGAGAACACTTGTCTGATTTTTAAAAAAGTTGTCCAGTACTGTTAGGTATCCCACTAGTCCTCTTAAAGACACATGAGTAGTGATTAGGCAATATGATGAAATATTAGACATGCAGAAGAACTTGCTTTAGTGGGGGCACACCACGGTGTAAGTGGATCGTACAAATCAATCACCCCAGCTTTGCATTTCTCTGGTTTGATGTTTCTGTGCTGCTCATTTTCTTAAAATCTGCTCTTCTTGCCACTTCTGCTTCTTAGCATGGATAACTGGTTTAAAGCATTTGGTAATAATTTATATTCTGTCTAATGTTCTCTTTAATATTCGACTCTAAGGACAAATTCAGCCTGTTGCGACTGCAGTTTCTTGAATATATTTCTTAATTTTCTCTTTTTTCTTTTTTCTTTTGTGTATGTCAACATAGCTTAGATTGAGGCTCTTACTGAAAATATACAAGGTTGAAGAAAGCACAACTAGCATGAGTTTCTGGAAAGCGAGCTGATGTTTGAAATCATGCGAAAGAAAAATTAATTAGTGCAATATTATTATTTTTTTAAAAAAATCTCATTTAGGGAGAACTGCATAAGCACTGCATTATTCCAGAAGTTATTGAGGATAAAACTGACAAAGAATATGCCATCCAGAGTCAACCAGATAAAGAGTTATATAATGAGTCTCACTGTGGTTGGGAACCATTTGGTGAGTAATGATTTTTTTTCTGACTTTCTGGGCAAGATGAATTAAATGGAATAATATACTTGCTGCAAAATAGAATACCTAAAACAGAAGAATGTCTCTGCAAAAAATCTGGGGTGACTATGGTGAGTAAGCCAAGTAAGCTGGCCAGAAAAGTTTTTAAAAGCCTCAGAGGAAGAGGGTTATCTTAACCTGGCACTGAAAAGATGACAAATTCAACGCCAGCTGGGCCACCGTGTGGAAGGTGTCCCATAGATGGGGGTGGGGGGGTACCACAGAGAAAGCCCTCCCTTTTGTTTCCACCCTCCTTCAACACTGAAGGAAGCACTTTCCTGCTTCCTTCAGAGTTGGCACTTGGAAGAGGTTGACCATAGTATCCCAACTGTTGATATTAGAAAAGTATTGGTCTTAAGACCACAGGCAGAGTGCTCTTACGGCCCTTAGACGGTACCTAGAGAGTCATTGGATTATAGGGATTCCAAGCTCTGTGCTTGGAAGACAGCTCAGCTGTCTAGCTGCTTTACTAGCTGAGAGGAGCATGGAGGTGATCCTCACCTCCCACTTTGCATAGAATGCCCATCGTCCTCTTTGTTTGGTAGACTGCTGACAGCCTCACTGGATTGCACCCTAAAAGAGATTTTGCGACAGGCACCTTAAATCAGCATTTGTTCAAATTGTTTTGTAATACAAATATATAGCCTACATTGGCTACATGATGTTTTATTTGATGGTTAGCTACCTTGAAGTATTCCAAAGAAAGTGATAGATAGATAGATAGATAGATAGATAGATAGATAGATAGATAGATAGCATGGTTATTTTTTTCTTTCCTTTTCTACCTTGTATTAACATTCGTACATGCCACAAATAGCAACAGCCCTATTCTCAAGGCATCCATGGCCAATGCATGTACAGATAAGGGGGTGCACCTCCTTGAAATGTTACAAAAGTAATGCACCACACAAATACAACCTAAGCAAATTTGTTGAGGAGTAAACTATTTTTATTATATATTTCTTGAAGCTACACCAAGATTGAGTGGCCTGATTTGCAGAATCAAAACTGTCTACCATGGATTGTTAAACCATGGTGGGCTGCAATGTATTTGCATAGTCAGTACCTGAATATTCAAAATAACCACTCATGTGCTGCAGCCTTATTGTGGCCTATATAAGCCAAATAGTGGGCTGTTTGATTGTGCAAACCAGTCCGATATAAATTGCATATTAAATAATTATTGGCTATTGTTCAAAATTACTTACATCTCAAACAATTTAATCCATGAACTCTTGCAAACATATATTCCCAGATAAAAGCAACTACAAACAGTTGTTGGGAGCCCTGGACTATTCATTCCTATGTGCTTATGCAGTCGGAATGTATTTGAGGTAAGGTTTATTTTATTCCTTTCTTAATCCTGTTTCATAGCCTCAAATTGTCAGTACATTAGATTGATCCATCTCTTCCTATGTGTGGTATAAATGTTGCAGAGTGTGGAGAAGGGAATATTCAAGAAGAAATGAGAAATGTTGAAGGCTGTATATACTCTAGGGGACATGGTCCCCACATTTTTCTGGTCACGTGGGCACAACTCCCTCTTTTTGCTCCTGCCTTTTCTGATTTCTTTTTTTTTTTTTTTTTTTTTTTGCAGCCCCTTTACCAGCTCAAGGTTTCCTGTCCTTTCTCTCCCCACCGCCAGGACCCTCTATTGCCACCACCCATGATCCTGCTGCTGTTCCCCTGCTTGGGATTGTCCTTGCTGGTTCTTCCCTCTCCCGCCCCCTGCCACATCTTCGTCTTCCCCAACCTGCCAGTTCTGACATGCTCAGCCTGCCAGCCATAACTTGTCAATTTTTATGTCATAATCTCACCTTTTAATGATTATGGCAATACACCTTTGTTCAGTAAGCACTCAGAATTAATCACTCTCTCATTCTCTCTCTCTCCGTCCCTTCCCTTAATTGAAAGTGGGATAATAGGGGAGCGCTTGCCTATCCGATACTATCTCACAGGGGGGATGTTTGCCAGTGGACTCTTCACAGCAATGTTTGGACTTGGCTATTTCTATAACATACACAGCCTGTGGTTTTACATCATAGCTCAGGTAGGCAGACCTATGTTTCTTTTCCCTTTTGTCCTTTAGAATTTTTCAGCATGGCACAACATAAGAACTACATTCCTGAAGTTGACTGAAGGTCCATTTAGCTTAGCATTAAGAACACAGGAGCAGCCATAGTGAATCAGACTGAAACCTATCTGCTCTGATGGGATGATGCGTATACATCTTTTACTTACCTAGAGTCCATTTCCAAAACCCAGTCCAGGACCAAGGAATAAAAGTCTCTTCTACCCTGTTGTCCCCAGTTACATGCTTTTAACAGAAAGTGGAAGAGGCCAAAATCTGCCCCATAGCAGAAGACACTGTTTAACCTAAAAGGATCTCCCAGGTACTGTTAGTCTTACACTTGAATAGGGAAAAACACACTGGTAGCAAAACCCAGTCTTACAGACAGGAGCTGTAACATTAATTTTTCCAATAAGTTTAAGACCATTTTAAATTCATCTCTAAAGTTGTGTGGTATAGTAGTAATACTTGAAGTTTCAACATAATGATTGACATGTTTAAAAATTTCAGGTGGCTAATGGATTTGTACAAACTACTGGCTGGCCCAGTGTGGTTACTTGCATTGGCAACTGGTTTGGAAAAGGAAGGTACATTGTCTACATTTTTCTCTTTTGGACAAAGGTGGGGAATATGTGATCATAGTGCCACATTACTAATTCTAAAAGTCATAGTCTGCCCTCCCAACAACTTAAGTGCAGATTTGCTAACACAGGTGAACTTGCAGGTTAGAAATGCTTTGTCTTTCTGGGGAATTTTGCCACCAAGTATGCCTTTTTAGGAGAATAATAAAGACAATAATAAATTAAATGTTTTGAATTTCTTAGAAGAAAAATGGTAGTGTGACATCTTAGTGGGCGCATTTTTACATACCAGTACTGCTGCATATTCTGAACACAATCCCCCAAAGTGTGGGGAGTGTCCTGAGAAAAAGACCCACAAGTTTAGCTAGTCATGGAGCTACAGCTTGTACAGGTCATGCATTTGTTCTGTCGGCTGCTTTGCTTTGTTTGGGACCAATGCAAACTGAAGAACTTTGCATTTCTCACCAGCAGCAAGTCTTTTCCTATCATTAGAGAAAGCAAAGTAGCTGATTCAGGCAGCAGCTGTTGGCGGGGTGGGGACATGGCAAGGCTGCTCCGCCCTCCTGCATGGCAGTCCTCTAGAGCTGGCCCCTCAGTGATGGTAATGCTTGCTTCTTTCTATCCTGGGTTGGCTTGCCGTCTCACCTCATTGCCTTTTCCCAGTGTGTCATGGGCCACATGCCATTGAGAAAAGCCCCTGTTTGAACAGACAGACAGAGAGGCAGGAAGCCCAGGTCACCTGTCTGAGCAGGCGCTGCATTTACAAATACATCGCTGTGCTTGCGTGATGCAAACTGGTGCACTGCTAGCCGGTGAAGCGCTGCTACGTGGGCTGCAGCCTGATCTGCGTCTCCTAACCTAGCCTCCTCTCCCCTGCTGCAGTGGAGGATACTGTCCCCTCTCAGTGGCCAGTCTGGCTAGCTTCTGTACTGGGACTGGGGTGCAGGGGAATGTCTTGGCCATCACCACAGGCCGCAAGAGTACCTTAGGCTTATTCGGACTAGAACTGAAGCACTGAATCTGCCTAGGTAGCCCTTGAATTTTAATTTTAAATGCAGTATTGTCTTTCGTACTAAGGGTAATGTTGATTGTCAGATTAATATATCGCTTTCCTTTTTTGTTTGTTGTAGGAGAGGATTGATAATGGGATTGTGGAACTCCCATACTTCCATAGGAAATATTTTAGGATCCCTAATAGCTGGCTGCTGGGTGTCCACCTGTTGGGGTCTGTCCTTTGTGGTGCCTGGCATCATAATAACTTCAATGGGTATAGTCTGCTTCCTGTTCCTTGTTGAACGTAAGTGTTACATTTCAGTGAAGTTATACTAAGTGGGACATGTTCTCAGTTGGGATAATTGTAATTGACCAACACTACTTTTTCTTGGCTATGCACAGAAACCTCTCTGCCTTCTATCTGTAAAACAGCCCTTATAATAAATTTAAGCATGTGCATAAAAGGTTTGGAGTAAGAATCCAGGGCAGGTGGTATATAAGGTTGGAGTATGTGTGGGCAAATCTGCAACCTTCTCCTGCTCGTCGGGCTTGGTTGTATGTCTAAATAACCGAACTGCAAACCATCTGGGCAGGTGTTTTACAAATATTTCCAAATAAACAAAACCAATAGGAGGGTTTAAATTGATATTATGTAAATGCCAAAACTACAAACTGGATTCAAATGACACATACCTATTTCATGGTACAGTGGTACCTCGGCTCACGAACACCTTGGTTCACGAACAAATCGGGTCACAAACAAAAATTACTGAAAAAATTTGACAATTTGACTTGGGTCACGAACACCACTTTGGGTGGCGACCAAGATTGCAGCCATCTCCCCCCCCCCTCCCAAGTGGGGAGATGGGGAGATGGCCATGATCGCAGTTCCATTCGTGGCAGGGAAGGCATGCATGATCAGAGGCACGCTGCTGCAGGAAAGACTGGAGCATCAAAGCAGAGCCGCGGGGGAGATGGCCGAGATTCCGCCTGTCTTTTCTGCAGGAGTGTGCCTCTGGTCAGGCACGCCTTCCCTGCACGAACGGAACTGCAATCACAGCCATCTCCCCACCCCCAGTGCACTGTTTGCGCCCATCTTTCCCTCCCCCAGTGCACCCATGATCATGCCTGTCTCTCCCCCACACCCCCCAGCACACCAGGATGACAGGCACCTGCAGGGATGACAGGCGCGATCTCGATCATGCTGGGGGGGTGGGGGGCAGATGGCCGCCATCTTTGTTGTTGTGACTTTGCTTCACATTTTTCTGATTTAAAAAATGGTTACAGAATGGATTAACCTTATTTACACTGAACCTTATGGGGAAATTTAACTTGACTCACGACCAATTTGGGTCATGACCAGAGTCCTGGAACGGATTAAGTTCGTGAGCCAAGGTACCACTGTCATTCATATATTTAGTCATTTTATACTATCAGCATTTTGGACATCATATATACTTCCATGAACTGTATTTTCTCTTTCAGATCCTAGGGATGTAAATTGTTCAAGTACATCATCCATTGTAAGTAAAAACTGTAACTGCATTTTCTTTTGGTTTTGTTTCACAATACTAGTTTACAACCAAAATGTTTAAGTGGGGGAAGGAATAAAATAGATGGTCCAGAGTAAACGCTGAAATCCATCTCCTTTCCCTCTTATTTTTATTTTAACATCCAGCTTGAGAACAGTTCTGTGCAACTCAAAAGTTTTGTATTTTATACTGCAAATACTGATACTACTTCAATAAAGTTGTTTGAGCTAAAACTGAATGTAATGGGGGTAGTCACTTTCCATGAAACGTTTTCTCACAATGTATACTTCCCAGACAGCATTGACTTTGCATGGTGTAGAAGTAAAATTAACAACAGCACACAGACAAATGTACAAAAACCTTTGCCTCTTTAGTACGGTTATGCATAAGGCCAGCCAAAACATTCCATTGCCCAAAACTGCATTTCTCTTCCTGCACCTGCTCTAGTGGCCTGCTGGCTTCCTCCAGTCTTAATTGTGGCAGCACTGCAGGCACATCTCCAAGGCCATGTTCCCCCAGTGACTCATTTTTTGGAAGGACTCTGCCTTATTATACAAGGCCCTTCCTCAGAGCAGGACAGTGGGACAAGGTAGGTCTGCACCTCTAGCTGCTTTGTTCCAGCTATTCTTGGGGTCCATTTTGACCCTCAATGCACCGTACTGAGGAAAGAACCATCCTTCCTGGTGATGGGAAAAATTGACTGTGATGTGTAAAGAACGCGATCTCTTTATCAAAGGTTTTTCTGAATGATGGTGCTGCCCAGTTTGTCTACATATTAATTTCTGTGCTTTTAGCAATGGTTTTAACTATTTAAAACATTCTAACTGATGCATTTTTATATTTATTATGATGGATTTTAACCTCAGTTTCAGTTAACTTTTGATATAATAAATGTTGGTGGATGTAAATTCATACATCATCATAAATGTAAAAAGGCTGGAAATCTAATCCTAAGAATGTTTATTCAAAAATCTTCTAGGAATGTAATCATCTTAACACTTATACCTGAACTCTTATTATCTTTCAGAATTATCAGAGTTACATGAATGGGTCAGATAGATTCTTCATTCAGAAACCAAAATTAAGCACATCAAAGGTAAAGAGAAAATGTTTTCATAAATACAGTATTTTTTCACAGCCTCAGTATGAAAGCAAATTACCTAAATGCTTTGGGGAATAGTATGGTTGTGCGAAAATGTTATTTGCCACACTTTATCCAGCTCTTTCTATTGTGACACAATAACCCATTCTGGGTTGGAACCCATGATGGTTTGTTGTGGCGTGCTAATCCAGACTCATTCAAATAGGTTTTTGTGTGGTCAGACCCCAGCAACCAGCCCTGTCTTGGGTAAAAGGATCAGCTACTGATTTGTGCAGCAAGAGCAGCAAAAACTGCTTGCTACTCTCACCAAGCATGTCCAGCCACCCCACAAGTGTCCCAGAAAGTGCCTCCCCCTGCTAATAAAAAAAAAAGAAAGTGGGATGTGCTATTACGTGTAGACACTTTGCGTGTAGGGTGGGGTATAAATGTGTTAAAATAAAATAAAAATAAAATATTACACTTTCCCAAGCACCTAGATTATTGGGGGAAAGTGTAAAATACGCCTTAACTGGGACGGTTAGAGTGAAGTTGAGAATTTTGCCACAAAGGGTGTAAATTACCCCCTTTTCATGAGCAAATATCATTCATCTTTTTGCTTTCTCTTGATAGCAAAACTCTCTACTCATTTCTCACATTTGACAGCTATCAAGAAAAAACAAGGAGAAAACCCATATTGTTCTGGGCAATATCTAGGATTGGTACCTGCCACACCTTGGCAGCAGGTACCCTCCAGGGCATCATCCTTGCTAAGGTTTGAACTTCCTGCATTTGCACAACTGGGGCTTATTTATTTATTTAAAATGCATAGCTATCTGCACAAGTTTTGTCCATTTTTAATGGGTTCTGTCAGCTTCCAACAGCCACTCCACCTTGTTGTCCAAGCACTTTTGAATGAGCTGTTGGTGCCTGCCAAAATGGGAATTGTAAAAAATAGTTGTCAAAACCTGGGAGTAAAAAGAGGAAATGTTGGGAGCAGCTGGGGTGGGGATGTGGGAAAGAACCGGATGCTATTACAGAGTCCCTTGAGAGGACCAATGGACAAGGAAGAAGTCAGTAACACATGGTGAGCCCAGTTATCTCTTGGGCACGTGTGGGTTGTTGTGATGTGTACGCCTGTGCAGTGTTTCTGTTTTGCCCCTTTTCCTGCCTTTGAGGGGGATCTGGAACTTGCATTTAAAGAAACTTTGTTAATATATTTAAACAAATTTAATAAATAAATACATTTTATACACACACACCCCTATCCATGCTTCATTTTCATTCCCATGTAGCTGTTTATCCAAAGAGTTAAGATTACTGTGTTTTGAGTTGAAGCTAAATTGTAAGTCCATGCATGCACATTCTATTAAAAACCCTGGTTTTAAGGAAATCTATTGTTATGGTTTGTTTATTAATAGACTATCTTCAGAAGTCAGTATGTGACAGGTTAGTGTTGAGTAAATAAATACGTGAAAACCAGGCAAACAAGAGTTTACATTGATCCTTAGTCTGAGAACAGATGTCTTCTGGTTGTACGAGTGTATCCCTATTTTAGTCTGTGAGATATTGAAGGGTATGTAGATATCTCTATTTTTGCCATGTTTATTGTGGCATATGTATAATGGTGTGGCTGATAATGGTTTTCAGTTGACCCAGATGGTATAGCCAATTCTTCATTTAGTTCATCATTGTTTTTTTAATTAAGAATACACAGTTCTTAGAATGGGAATAGTTCTGTAAATGTCTTCAGGAAAGAACTAAATTTATTTATTTATTTATTTATTTATTTATTTAGAAAATTTCTATGCTGCCCCATTCGCCGAAGCCTCGGGGCAGCTCACAAAGATATCAATTAAAATATAATACAATAAAAATATAGAACAAGTTAACAATATAAAATAAGTCGCCCTGGCCAAAGAATAAAATAAAGTATCCTTTAAGGTAGACTAGGTTTCTTGTTGAGTCTCTTATTCTTGGTACTAATAAAATAACGCCTGAAGAAATGAATGAAGAAATCTTAACTTTTATCAAGCCACACATGTCATGTGAATATTACTGTCTGTGCAGGTAACATGATTTCATAACATGTATGGCATAAGAAAATGTAATTCCTTCAGTCTTTACTGTTTCAAAAAGATAAATAGCATTTTAATTTTTTTAAATGTAAAACTTTTACTGTACCTTCTTTGAGTTGCTTGGTTTCTAAAGAAAGGTTATTGCTTCCATTGAGTTTGATGGGGTCTTTCGTAGGATCCAGAGATGCATTGTCTGCTCTCTAACAATGAGAATTGCTCAAAACAACCAAATCATACTAATGGATTATTTGAAGGACTTGAAAATGGGAAGTCTGCTATTAGTTTCATTGGAGCTTTACGAATACCTGTGAGTATTTCACCTTCATCACATCTGGTTTGTGACCTGACCTGCACTCTTGTCTGTTGCAGAAGATGAATATAACAGAGATTAAATCCTCTACTATGTCATCTTCATTAGTGATAGTCACTGTACTATGGAAAAATAGCAATAACTACCCAGTAGGAACTATGCCATGACAAGATTGGAAGTTACTATCATTGAATGAGTGTTACCATCACTATACAGTGATTGTTACCTTTCCCCCACCTTAATACTGATCCTGTTTTGGGTTCATAGTGGTCAGCACTGGAACTGACTCCTTTGACGTTTGAGTTATAATGTGCCAGTTACTTGTAACCATACTGCAGAAAATGGATAAAACTAACTAGATGTAGCCTTGGTGCTAATAACAGTTTAAGATAATGTGAGGCATATACCTCAGGTTTATTACGTAGCCCTCCTACTGCCTTGGCACAGTCCATTTATGGTCTGGTGTATCCATCCTTGCCTTCACCTATTTAAAATTGCAGGAAAAATCCCATTGTACAACTTACCTGTGCCACACAATCGCTCAGAGAAACAGGCACTCCAGAGACAGTAACTATGTACAGTTAATGAATCTGAGTACTGGAATGAGAGAACTTTTGCATTGTTGGGGGTACTTTATGCCTAATTCTGCGTAGCTGTCTCCATGTGCCTAGTGATAGGATCAGACCATTACATATTGCATAGGACTTACTTGCTTGGACTGAAATTACCTCAGTGCAAACAAACAAGCAAACTACAAAGTATGCTTTATGCCTGTTTATTAATTTTGTTTTACTATTTTTTCCAAATTTTTCCATTCTCCATAGGGAGTTATAGAATTCTCTTTCTGCCTGTTATTTGCCAAACTGGTCAGCTACACTTTTCTCTTTTGGCTTCCACTGTATATCACAAATGTAGGTAAGGATCTGTATTGCCTTTAAGAATGTTATTTGTAAGATACACCACAATACCTGATGGAAGTACCTCTCCCAGCCTCAATCTACCTGGACCATGTGATCTGAATCTGGGGCCTCAGTGGTGGTCCCCCATTACGAACTGATCTGCTCTCTAATTGTCATCTTCTTGGATGCAGATTAAAACTGTCCCAGGCATTTAATGGCATGTGATGGGTTATGTCACTTGCTTTAATTAGTCTAGTTTTATTGAATTTCCTTTATACGCTTAAACTGTTTTACATTTTGTGTATTCAAATTTTATGCGCCACCTGCATCCCTATTCAAATTTTAGACTGTTTTAAATGTATACTGGAATATTATACTGCACTTTACTGTATCTGCATTTTATTGTATTTCAAGAAATTGTGGTAAAGCACCAAGAGAGCTTTAGCTACCCAAGGCGGTGGGGGAGGTGTATGGAAGATAAATAAATATTTTTTTTCCTTGACAGAACACCTTGATGCAAAAAAAGCAGGTGATCTTTCCACACTCTTTGATGTTGGAGGAATATTTGGTGAGTTTGCAACTATTATATTAAAATCTGTCTATATTTGCAAGTGATATTCTTAAACAATCTTAGAGGCAGGAGATCGAGATAAACAGCAAGGAAGCTCATCATACATGTCCAGCTGCTCCACTGAGAGAGCAAAAATGTAAAGGACATGATGGCTTTAGTAGCAGATGCACTCTTGGAGAAAGGGGCAATTCCTGGAGATATTGAAGAAGTAGTAGGGAAAAGATTTGTAACAGTTTGGATATGGGCAGAAAAGAAAAGTAGAAGTGGAGTTATATTTTTGGAGACAAAAGAATTCAAGGAGCAACAGAACAGCAGGGAGGAAAGGGCTATGGATACAATAAGCAAGAGCAGGCTCTTCATCATGTTCAGTTTGAGACATTGACAGGAAATCTTATGGGAACTGGTGACAGGCAAGTATAAATTGCAGTTGGGCATATCACAGGAAAATAAAGTTGGGAGCAATTGACTTAAAAGTGTAGCAAAAGCCATCAGAATAATTAAAATTGTTCAAAGAGAATAGAGTAGAAAGAGAGGAATATAGGAGCCCCGTTGATATAAACCAAAGGTCCTACCTAATCCAGCATTCTGCTTTGTACAGTGATTGAGCAGATAGCTTTGCGAAGTTCACAGGATGTTCTGGAGCACAAAGACATTTGTTAATAATGCGTCTTTCTTCATCGCTTTTCTCATAGATTGAAGAAAAATGGCAGGAGAAGGTAGACATTTTAGACAGTATATATCCAAGTGTGATTGATTATAGTGCAAAAATTAAGAGAGCAGGTACTAATGCTACCATTGCAGCTGATGTATATAGAGCACATCTTTTAAAAAGAGCTGTTTGAGTCAAATCTAGGGAAATCTATCTAAAGCAGTTGCGGATATGGTTAAAAACATTCTGTCCGATGTTTGCTTTCCCTCCTCTTTCTGCAGGTGGAATTTTGGCAGGTATAATATCAGACCGACTGAAAAAAAGGGCTACAACGTGTGGCATGATGCTTTTGATTGCTGCACCCATGGTAAGATCTGCTCTCATTACCATAGCGATAAAATACAATTGTCCGTGACTCTGCTCTGCCAATATGTGCTGGCTTAACAATATGAATGTGCAATTTTATGTTCTCATGTTGTAACAGTTTAAGGTATTTTCTTGTAAAACATAAAATAAGCCTAAGGTAATGAGAAATGAAGGAAGCATTACTGAGGTGAGAATGATTAAATCCTAGAGCTGCCCTTACCCTCTACGTACCAGAGAACTACAGTTGGAAACGCCTTCATATTATCTATGCCTATAGATCCTAGAAAGCAAAATAATAGGAAGGGTTAGGGTTAGGGCAGCTCGCTGGATAGAAATAAAGTATAAAGTGTTACTGGAAGTAGAGGTTTGCATGATAATTTGACCTAACTCGGTGATGTCTGTGCCATCCTAGCTGTATGTATTCTCTGCAATCAGTAAAATGGGCCCTGAAGCTACCATAGGTAAGTTCTCAAATTGTTGATAACCAGTAACATCCAGGTGATGTCTCAGTGGGCACTAGTATGGCCTAAGAAAGCATAGACAGGTGTTGGGGGAAAGTAGCTCCTTGCTTTCAGCTCCTTCCCTCTCAGTCCTCCTGTGGGTATCCCAAGGGGCCCCATGACAGGACCAACTTGTCTCCCCCAGCACCACAATCACATGACATCTTCAGTTCACCATGGCTTTTTTTTGTTCCTTTAACTTGTTTTCCCAGAAATTGTGAAAGCTAGCTTGACAGTCAGGTTTTACAGTCGCCAGTTTGACAGCCACTTCCAGCTGTTTTAAAGTTTCTCAGTGCCAAGCAGCACATGGTAGGGTTGTCAGTGGTTAGAATTTTTTTAAAATTGGTTTCTGGTTTTGTTTTGTTTTTAAATGCCACACTTGCACAGCTGACAGCAGTTAATCTGCCCTAAGGGTAAGTTCACTTTTCCAGTTGTTCCAAAAACCCTAGATGCTTGGGAACATGGAAAATGGAAACCATCCACCTTATAAAGGAGTGGGTGCTTTGACAAGCTATGTGTTTAAACTCTGGCTCCTTTTATAAGGAAGTTCTTGAAAGGGACACATCCATTTATGCCTGCATGTCTCTGTCAAGAAACCAGACAGAGCCTTTCCAAAAGCACTCTTTTAAAATCAGCTGTTGTTTTGACAGCTACCTGTTGAAGCCAACAGCCCCTTGCCAAGCACCTATGCAAGAGTATAAGCAGCATGCTTACGGGGGTGGTTATTTTGGATAGCCATCAAATAATGCTGGGATCACACATTGTATATTGTTGAAGACGACATGCATTCTAAAACTCTGATCTGATGGCTTTTCTTCTCCAATTTCAAGTCATGCTGCTCATCTGTGGAGCTCTTGTAAATGGCCCATATGCCTTGATCACAACAGCTGTTTCAGCAGATTTGGTGAGTGCATTTCTTTTCTGGTGAGTTTCAGAAATGTATTAATCATTTTCTGTTTGATAAGAGCAAGTGCACGTGAAAGGTATGAGCATAAACTTATAGGCAATGATAGAATTCATTCAAACTGAACAGATGCAGCCTTGATCTCCACCAGCCAAGATCTGGGGGAATTGACTGCCTTCTTAATCCAAGATTAATCCACAACAGGATTTGTGAATATGTCCTCAGTATCCCTATTATCCCAATTTGACATGGGAAGGAAGAGGCTCCTGGCACCTGTGAAATAGTTTATTAGTGTGGAGTTGTGGAAATGCAAGGCAGAGGAAAATTAGAAGTGATGTACAACTTCAAAAATGTGAGACAAACTGTTGTAAAGTCTGCTTTAGTCCACATACGTTACAGCAGCCTTTTCCAACCTAGCACACTCCAGATATGTGGAATCCTGGGAGTTGTAGTCTACATCTCTCGTATACCAGGTTGGGGAAGGCTGCCTTGAGTTTCCTCTGTTTAACAGAATTAACCATATCATTGCAAATTTTTTAGAATCCATTTTGTGTAAATTAAAATGTATCACTGATTTGTTTTAGTGATGGATATTGTGATATAGTTCTTCTCTGTGTATCACACATATAGTCTCTGTACCTGTGCAGAGACTCACCTCAGGAAGGTTGTATAGCTGAGGTTCTGTTGGTGGGAACCTGCCATCACTATCACAGGATACATTCCCACCCCTTTCCCTCAGTTCTTCAACTACCATTGTGGCAGCCTCATGGAAGCTTCACTTCATCTACTAGATGTTTTTTTTCCTCCAGCTGAGTTTTCTTATTGTTGTTCTTATTTGGGGTATACCTCTGACTATTATCCACACTGCAAGCTCAGAGAGCAGACTGGCAGATGCACTCAGCCATTCAACAGAGGCCTCTCACAAGTGTTAACTGCACCCTGCCAACTTAGACGCATTTTTTCAATTTGGGGATTCCTACCGGTAAAAAGGTAAAGGTTTCCCCTTGATGTTAAGTCCAGTCATGCCTGACTCTAGGGGGCGGTGCTCATCTCCATTTCCTAGCCGAGGGAACCAGCGTTTGTCCACAGACAGTCTCCATGGTCATGTGGCCGGCATGACTAAATACCGAAGTACAGGGAACGCTGTTTACCTTCCCACAGAAGTGATACCTTTTTATCTACTTGCATTTGCATACTTTCGAACTGCAAGGTTGGCAGGAGCTGGGACGGAGCAACGGGAACTCACCCCACTGTGCAGATTCGAACCGGCAACCTTTTGATCAACCAGCCCAGCAGCACAGCAGTTTAAACCACTGTGCCACCTGCAGTCCCGATTTGAGCGGTAGTGGGCCAGAATTCATTGGGGATGTATTCCTCCTGAGATGGCTGGGGACACTTTTTTACCTCTTGCCTTCCTTTTCTCCCTTTTCTGGCAAGAGTTCTGCCAAAAATTCAACTTGACAGTACAGTTGGTATCATTTTCATGCCATGGGACTCTGATAAACATGGTTCCCCCAGCTACTTTGCCTGTACAGCCACACCTTCCTTTGGCTGCCATCAATAGCCAACTTCATCTCTTTGGATTAAGGAGGAACTCAGTATCCCAACATTCAGACCTTGCATCTGACAGCATGGAGCATCCTCTGCTAACATCTTACATCACCCTCCCTGAGGGCCTTTGCGTTATATTGAATGTGGCATGGAAGCCAACTATCAGATGTTTCAATGAAGCAAAATAGAAATTGTACATTCATTTCTCCCTAAAGTGGTAGCGAGTTTTCACATTAATGGGAGGGGGGGGTAATTATCTTGCTCACTTTTTTTCCCCACCCTCATTGTTGAATCTACTTTTTACACCCACAATGCCACAACTTTGGCATTCTGTAGATGGAAAATAGAATAATTCTGTCAGTTGCTGAAGAGTTTTTTATGGTATGTTGGCAAGAATAAAGAACTTCCAATTTCTTCCAAAGTGTCACATCCTGAGTAGTTCAGTTATCCCTTCATATCATGGGCTGGCCTGGAAACCTTGGAGCCACTGAAAGCTCACTTCATCCAGGGAATGGCAACCTTGTCTACTTCCTGAGTTAGTTGCCTCTGCTAGAGTTATGTAGGGCTCCTTTCATGTTCATAAAGCACTACAAGCGTGGCATTCAGAAGGGCAGTATTTTCTTCAGTGCTTTGAAGAAAACCCACCAGAAGTAAGTCAGCCCACTACTGGTGTAACGCACAGAGACCATGAAGAGGAAAGGCAGTTGCTTACCTATGTTTTTCTCTGCAAGTGGACAGAACCTTCCCGCCATCACCACTTTGGGTGTAGATGTCACATTTGGTGCTGGTACTAAGGCTGGTTGCCTTTGGTATTCACATCAATGTCTATAACAGATATTGATCTCAATGACCCTCTAAGTTCAGGGGCTACAGTGATGGTCTCTAGGAACTCAGGGAAAGTGCAGGAACTTATAAGAACATGCATGCTGTGAGGCTGAGGAGGTTCCTGCCAAAAAAATCCTCAGCTATAGAAGCTTTCCAAAGCACAGTCGACACACAGGTGCCAAGTATGTATGTAAAAACACACAGATGACCATTTGAAGAATTTGTATTGTTAAACTGTCTTTGGTAATGGGACATTCCACAAAAGTTTTAAATGGATGGATGGATGGATGGATGGATGGATAACAGTTACAGGTAAGCAACCCAACTTTAGTGAATCTGTCCAGCTAAATTTAGTTAAATGCTATTTTAACATCTTTTCAAATGGGAAGAATGGTGTACAGTACAAATAATATTAATAGTCCCATTCTCTGTGCTCACTGATTAAGTGCTGAATATATTTTCATTAAAGGGGACCCATAAAAGTCTTAAGGGAAATGCGAAAGCACTCTCCACTGTTACAGCCATCATTGATGGGACAGGCTCCGTAGGTAAGTGATCATTCTCAATATATGTGCCTGGGGCAGGATATTCTCTATAGCTCTTGCTACAGCTGACTAGAAGTTTTTATCAGGTGACCAGCCTTGCTCTAATACCCAGATGTGTGACTGTGCATGGGTTACTCTTGAACTGCTATAAGTAGATATTTCCCAGCATTCATTCTCCAGCACGTTATCCGTGTCACAGTCCTATCACGCGTAATAGGTGTGGTTTTGTAATTCACTGGTGACATACACAGAGAACAGTTAAACAGGAGTGTCATGGATAGAACATTTGGAGAGCTTTCAGCCAAAGGATTGCTATGAGTTGGAGACAACTTCATGGCACATAACAACACAACAGCAACAGCAACATGCACGGAATTTATAAAATTGGTTAACTGTGTTAAATTTTGAGTAAAGTATCAAGCATTGTGCAGTCCAGTAGATGTACTGATTCTCACCTTGTATTGCTTTACACTGTATTTCAGGTGCTGCTCTGGGGCCTTTGTTAGCGGGTCTCCTCTCTCCCTCTGGTTGGAACAATGTCTTTTATATGCTGATGATAGCAGATGCCTGTGCCTTATTAGTAAGTCCAAGTATATCATAGTGCCATATTGCTATGCTGCACTGTCTTTGTTAAAATGTAGACTTTGGTTTAATGAGTTGTCCATGCTTTGTTTGAAAGCATAATGTTTCACCATATGTGCACTGTCTGCAGCCATATGGAAAATTCTGACACATACCATGGTAATTACGCTTTAGTTTCCACAGAATGCCTGGACATCTTCCTCTTCCCCTTCCCTTCCCTGTCTTCTCCCCATGTCTTTCTTTTGTTTAGTAATTTGTATGAGAAATGCATATTTATATCATGGAGATGTCCACAGGCAAGCATCCAAAACATTTCGAAAGGACAGATACTGATGTAGTAAGAGTTTTGATGAGTGAGAAACAGTTTATTACTGTTTTTCTTTTCTGCTCAATTGGCACCAGACTCTTAAAATACTGTAATATTTTCACTGTACAATGCAACATTACCATACAGTGATGAATATGAACAGTAGCAAAAGCATAAGAACTTAGATAGCCCACATTTTCTAAGCAAGGTCCCAGTGCTATACCCACCCAGGTCCTAGAAATTTCACCAAACCCTCTTTTAATTTTCTTGTTCTCGGAGGAAAGAATTAGCTTTAATGCACCAAATGCAGGATCCGTCCTGCAACATGTTACAGCAACCCTGCCCCAAAGTATTGGAAAATCCTTGTAAAACCATTCACTGTGAATGGAAGGTAGAGCTGCCAGTCACAAATAATTCATCCCCGCCTCTTCTCATTTCCACCCTGGTGCTTTTCTTATGAAGAGAACTTGAGGAGAAAGGTCAAGTTTTAGAAGCATGCCATCAGAGTTGGCATTTTCCACTTTGAAGGTGCCCCGCTTCAGTGTGCTCTCCTCCTCAATCTGTAGGAATCAACCCCCCTGTTTAGGGGCATGTGCACGTTGAATTATTTGAGCGCTGGGAATGAACCATCATCACTAGATGAAACTAGATGCTTTTGGAAATGATGGTAGCATACTTTCAGAGTGCTATAAATGATAGCCAGCGTTCCAACAGGCCTGGGCTCCCTCCACTGGACCATTTAGCATTCTCCATCCACAGTTTTTGTTATGTGCAAATACAGATTGTGTTTACTCTTGGATTTAGATTTAATGCTGTATGCTTCACTGAGCCATGTGTTTGCTAACAAGTGGATTAATGTGCATAGGTGTTAGAAGATAATCTAACAAAAATGAATTACTCTGTCAAAATCCATTATATGACCAGTGCTCACAGTGGACTATATTTTAAATTAGGGAATGAGACACCCTTTGCCACTGTTTCATATAAAGCCTTTCAGTCCAGCATGAGCACTGGCCCACTTATGGCAGCAGCTGGGTATCTGTTACTAATTGCTAATGTATGTTTTAGCCACATAACCAGTTGCTTTGCCCACATATGCACTTCAGTTAAAGTTCCAGGAACATTCATTCCCTCTGACTGTCCTCCCCACTTCCTAGTTTTTCATGCCCTATCAGGTGATATAGTACCTCACTTTAATGAAGAATTAATGTCGGTGGCCATTTTCCCTCTTACCATATAACTTCTTTTTAATTGTACAGTTTTTACTCCGCCTTATACGAAAAGAACTTCAGTGTAGTCTGGACCAAGCCTTGTAAGTCCCTGTCTAATTCCCTGCATTTTACTTGTATCATTCATCAAACATGTCTTCCTATGCAACAATAATATGTTTTTTTCCCTTCCTACTTAGATTTTTGCACTATTTAACCATTTCTTTGTCATTTCTCTTAGACTGGGGCCACATTACACAATAGGCTATCCTGGGTTGCCACCTACAATAAGTTGCTATGTTGTGCAAATGTAGACAGATTCATATGGGTTGACTTGTGTGTGTAACAAGCCACCCTGGCAACCCATGAAGTGCTTTAGGGGTTTCTCTACCCACAGTGGATTCTCATATTGTCCAGACCAAGACAACCTACCCCATTGTGGGTTCAGGTGATCAGCTAGTGAGATCCATGGCAAGGGGAGCAGAAACCTGTTGCCATGTGGCTACCGGGCTAGCATTAGTACCAGCCACCCGCAGGCCACTGACGTGCCACTTGGGGCATCTGGCACTGCTGCCCCACTGCCACTCCAGGCTCACCACTCCAGGCTCCCTCCCCCGCACCCAGACATGTTCTGCAGTTTATGACCGCCTGCTCCCCTGAGCCCCACTTGCACAGCTACAAACAGTCCCTTTAAGTTTCTCAGCAGCAGGCTGGAGAGCTGCCTTGGTTTGCCCAGCCTTTACAAAACTTGCATAAGAGATTTTTTTAAAATAGCCATACTTGTTTAGGTAGTTGCTGCCAAGGTTATATGGCTAGCTGTCACTGCTGTCAAAACTCCTTTTTCCATAGAAAAAGTGGGTGGAGGGTACTCTTGCACTTTCCCAAGCGGGTGGTAGAGATGACAATCTTTGTGAAAGGTGACATCACCCCATTTTCTCTCTCACACACACACACACACACACACGGGCTTTGGGTTTTTTTGGGCATCTTGCCTTCTGACTGCTGGCAAGAAAAACCAAAATGGGAGAAATGAACTTGCAGCTTCTTTTGGGCAATGTCTTGGGATGGTACCTACTCCCATGGGCAGCAAGCCTTGGAGGTTTCCTTAGCTGGTGTTTCGAATCCCTGCACTTCCACAACTGCAAAGATTCACAGCTGTGCAAGTGCAACTAAAACTATTTCCCAAAAAAGCAGGGTAACCACAGCAGCCCCTCCAAACATGACTTTAAAGAGCTTTCTCCTAGCTGTCCATACAGGAATAACAAAAGCTGGCTTGATAGCCTGCTTTCATGAGTTCCCTCCTCATTCGCACACATACACACAAAAGTTTACAGGGAGAAAAAGCCAGGGTGAGCACAAAATATCCCATAGCAGCAGGAAAGAGAAAATTACTTCTTCCCACCATGTTCCCTGAGACACCTGCAGAAGGACAGAGGAGAAAGGAAAGAAGGGGAGATGCAGTCCAATGCAGTAGTGTGATAACAGTACATTTTCCAGAAGCTGTTGGACACTACCTTTTGGTTAACCAAGCTTTTTTTTGGCAAGGGGTGAGTATAGAGATGGCTTAGCCTTGTTAGCTATGCTTGACATATACAGATATATAGATATAGTTGATATATAATGCTAGCTACATATACACATGGATACTTTTTTGACATTAGTGATCACTGTCTCTTAATATATATCAGCTCTTGTTTCTTGCTTACTGACAAGTTTCATTCTTTTGTAGGTTTAAAGAACACTGAACTTTTTGCAAGGAGTAAATTCTTTATATGAGATTTTACAATAATCATTTCAAAGATTTTGACTGCAATTAAGAATGCCTAGTTATCTTGTTGAGAAGGAGACTGCTCTGCTTAAAATAAAGCAGGAGGATGGGGAATAGAAGAATTCATCTTGCATGTGGTTCTCTGGATCCCTGTTTTTGTGGAAATACTATTCTGCATTTGAGTTAGTTTTCCTGAATTGTTCTGAGCAATTACACGGAGGAGGCTCTCCCCTCCCCCCGCTGCAGTTTTATTTTGCACATATACCAATACCTCAGGAAGGTGACTGTCCTCAAAAGAAAGGAGCTGCGTGATATTTTATAGTAGAACTGAGCCAAAGAAAATGTGCCTTGATACTCTTTTTGTCTTAAGTTGATGTTATGCTACATGGCTGGTTTTATTGTATTTTATTTTATTTTATGTTAATAGGATGCCAACAAATCTGAGCAGAAGGCATTAAGAAGCCTAATTATCATTGCATGTTTGCAGTGTGCTAAGAAGAATTAGCAAAATATTGAGCAAAGTGTCCTTCATATGATGTCTTATCTTGCTAGGAAAGAATGGTGTTAAATATGTGCTATTTTAAGTAGATTGTTCTCATTATTCAGCATTAACAGGTAAGTTATCACACCACACAGTCACAAAGAAAATACTCTGTTTGAAACAGGTTAGAACCAGCAATGCCATGTACACATACTGGTTTTGCTGCTGTGGTCTCCTGCTCCTAAGAGCCATTCCCATTGAGTTCTGTGAGTAAGCAACTAGAGAACAGCATCCTTAAACTATCTTCTGTTTAGTAAGACAATAACATACACCTGCTAGCCTTTGAATCCCTGGTACTAATCAAATGATGCAGATTTGGAAAAGGCTCAACAATCTTATTTGGGCATGTATTGACTTTTATGGCAGAATTTAATTAATTTTAGGCCAGGAAAAACTTTTGTCCCCGCAAGGCCTGCCAGTTGAATGTTGGTACCTACCAAATGAGTCATCTGTAGAATAAAAATTAGCCCCTGCAATAAGCTACTCCAAGACACTCTAACTATTCTAGTTGGGGCTTCCTCTCTCATGTGGTTGATGAAGAGCTGCTGTCCCAACTTGAAAGTGAATGGTGAACCTCCTGTTTTTGCGGTGCTCTGTATTGCATTGTGGTGTTTATTTTTTCCTGAAGCCTTCGTATAGATTTCATCCAGTTGACTGATACTGATCCCTGTTGTGTGTGTCTGGTCAAGGAAACAATAGCATTGCTCAAGGTCTTTCAGCAGCTGAACTTGGATATACTCCTATTTTCATTGCGAATAGTTGGAATATTTGTAATTGTACTGGAATATCTTCCACAGAGTAAGAGCCTTAATTTGTACTGAGCTTACATACAAGATTATTCTTTCGCAAAAGGAGAGAGAAACCATTGTTTTGTCCCACAAAAGCAAGTATTAACAGTTTCTCACAGTACACTCTACGCTTTCTTCCTCAGCATATGCTAAGACTCTGTTTCGATGCACAGCTTGCTTCGGGACTGCAAATATGTATCACAGAACTGCTTGTTTATTTTTTTGAAGAGGGACATACTGTATTACAAGAGAAGATTTTAGTTGAATTCAATATGTGTACCATTGATGTGTATTTATTAAAGTTCAGTAGCTTATATTTTTCCTGACAATTGGTGTTTTAGTCAAAATAATTTACACTGTACTTGCACCACCAAGCCCAAGCCTTACTTGAGAAACAAGTTCCATTACCAGTTAGAGCAGCCACAACTAGCATAGCTTTCTGCAGATTTACGGTTTATATTCTCATCTCCCCCTCTACTCATGGTTAATTTTGGTTTGTGGCGGTGGTGCTGTTTACATATGTGTATGTGAGCAAAGAACTTCTTGGCATTAAATGGTCATGATTCAGTATTCGTTCTCATGCTGTCTTTATTTACCAGACTAAATTTGTGCATCCTTTGCTCAAGGATCTAGGGCCAAATTCAATTTTATTCTTGAGTTAAAGAGTTGCCATGTGAGAATAGTAGTTTGAGTGAAGGAGTGATAGGAAAAGGGACTGTTGGACTTCTTTCCTTCCTACTCCTTGACTACTCAAATGCCTCATGCCAAGCTTCTTTTTAATGCATTTATTTATTTCCTTTTTGCAATTACTGATATGTCAACTTTCAGGATACAAATCTTGAAAAGGCAGCTTACAAGTAAAATAAATATAACGAAGTCACAGTAATCAATATTAACATTTCTTAAACAAACCAGGATCCTTCCCTCAGAGGTATTGCTGGAAAATAGCCCTGTGCTGAGGATTGTACTCATGGATAGGAGCAGGTATCAGGCATTATCTGTATCTATCACAGGGCAGTTGATGATAGATGGCCCTTTGGAGGGGGCAAAGGGGTTCTATCTGGAGCAGACCCTCAAGTGTTGTTTTCTTCTCTCCTGAGATTTCTATGCAAATTTTCTCCTTATAGGAGTGATGCAAAGACCTTAAATGTTTTACCCAGTGGATGGGAAAGGCAGCTGCTGGCAAAGTGACTTTGAATGTAAAACTGGCCTAAAGGTAAACACTTTAAAAAGCAGCCCTTCTTCCTCCCTCTGACCCTAACACTACTCTCATTCTGTAAGTCACAACTTCCGAGGCTGCTTTTCAGTTTAAATAAATGCATCTGGTTCCTTCCCATGTTACACTAATAACTCGAAGGTACAAAATGATCCCTGTACTTTGATCCCCACAAAAGCAACTTTGCATGTGAACGCTGAGTACTCCCTGTCATTTGCTTTTTTATATAAATCTAAAGAGATTCTGAATGATCCTTCTGTATTTCATAAGTAGCCATGATGGGACTTTGCTGGTTCTGTACTTAAAGTTAAGAATATTTTTTGTGTGTTATCTGGTGTGTGAAGACTGTTGTACTCAGTCTCAACTGCAGGGGCAAGGTGTTGTTAGTCGCGAAGTCGTGTCCGACCCCTTGCGACCCCATGGACAACATTCCTCCAGGCCTTCCTGTCCTCCACCGTCCCCTGGAGTCCACTTAAGCTCACAGGTGCAAAGTAGCTAAAATATAAACCCTAAATAGTCCGCCAAAGCTCTGCACTGGTTAGCTCTGTTAGGTGGAATGTCTTTCAGTCGTAAGGCTGTTTAAAATAATGCACTGTACTGTTAACAATTACATCATCTGTAACCTTTTCAGTGAACCCATCAGGGAATGGTCATAAAATCCCTGCAGAACTATAGAACTATAAACCTTGGTTCCCAGATAGCAGTGAAGAACAACTGTTCTTCTGCAGCAGAGCTATTTCCTTTGTAAATAAACATGCACAAAAAGGCAACATAGTTGAAAGTCCAAACGTGTGATTTGTGTGATGGTTGGAGAACTGGTTGTCCTTGCCATCCTTCCCTTTTCACATACAACTATCAGGGGAAACTAGATAGAACTGGTTTCCACAATCACATGGAAAGAGAGGAAAAGAAGGATCCAGTTCTAACAACAGAAGGAATATAATGGGTGGCTCCAACTATGGTTGGTTTATCGTTGACACAGTAATCAAAAAGGCCATTATTTGTGTCTTGAACACTCGCAAAGTCTGGAAGATGAAATAATGCTGAGGCACACCCCTCGAGAGCAGAGAGGTGGTGGTTTAGGACCTTTAAAAGTTATTTTTAAATCATTAAAATCCCCCTTTACATTCTTATTAAGAATTCTAGTCACCTCTTACCTAATATTTACATGGGCCTTATTATCTCTTCAACAGTTCTGTCTTTTCTTTGGTTTCTGTGGTGTTATACTAGTTTAATCCAGGGACTGCCAGCATGGCACCCATGGGCACCTGTAAATCTTTTTGTTTAAATTCCATGTTTGTATATAGGTACATGGGTTTGTAAATAGCCATAGCAATGAATACATGCCATGAAATGCACACAGCTTTAGAGCAACAACAGATATTCTTCAATGAAAGGGGACTAACTAACCAAGTAAGTATCCATTTGAAGGAGACATCAGTGTGCCATGCACTTAAAAACTGAAAACATTGTAAGGGCCTCAATCCATTGAATTATAGGAGCTGTTTCTTTTTTCATTATGGTAATATCTGTTCTTTTACCTTTTACAAAGGAGCAAAGACTCCTTTACGCTATTTGTTAATTTCCATGAAGGAGGTAAATAAAAGAGTGTGTACATCAGTGAATACTAAAGACTGTTCCAGTACAAAGTATTTCTGTAATAACCACTTTCCCAAAAGTAGCAGCTACTGGCCAAAACCTATATTTAAAAGAAGCATTAGCTCTATAGCATTAGCAATTATCCAAATTAGACAATTCATTATTAAAATGACAGGGCAAGTTTCCAAAAGACATGAAGGTTTTTGTTCAATATGACACATCCTAAGATTCACAGGGGGGATGCAGGTGGTGCAGTGGTTTAAACCGCTGTGCTGCTGGGCTGGTTGATCAAAAGGTCACTGGTTCGAATCTGCACAACGGGGTGAGTTCCCGTTGCTCCATCCCAACTCCTGCCAACCTTGCAGTTCGAAAGCATGCAAATGCAAGTAGATAAAAAGGTACCACTTCGGTGGGCAGGTAACAGCGTTCCGTGCACTTCGGTGTTTAGTCATGCTGGCCACATGACCACAGAGACTGTCCGCGGACAAACGCTGGCTCCCTCGGCTAGGAAACGGAGATGAGCACCGCCCCCTAGAGTCAGGCATGACTGGACTTAACGTCAAGGGGAAACCTTTACCATTAACCTAAGATTCATAGACATGAAAAATGACTGTCCACTGATTATACCTTTTGTAGTGATGCCCACAACATATTCTCAAATTCCCAAAGATGCCCATGGGTCCAAAAATGCTGGGCACACATCATCAGCCCTGAATCATGCAGTATTTCCATGGTGTCTCTAGCACTTGTCTGCCCACAAAATCCAAATATTCATCATAATAATATGCTTTGGTGGATACATTCCAGCTGTGAACTCTTCAGGTAAAGAGGGTTTTTACTAAAAGCTCATGATTATGCTTCTCTATAATGCTATCACAGCAAATTTCTACTCTTTAAGGCAGTGATACAATGGTAGATGAACTGGTAGGCTCATTTCTGCATCCTCATTTGTTCTTCAGCTGGTTAAGAAAGCTGCTTCAGAGGAATGAGGGGGAGCACTTTTTGGAAGAGTTTGGTTTTGTTTTGTTTTTCAAAGCTCTATGAAATAGAAATGTGTACATTTGTATTTATAAAATGTGTACATTTGTATTTATCCATGCCCGTGAACAGGTGTGCAGAAAGTTGCAAACAGAGGAGTTGGATAAGTTAGGAGAAGGTTTTTCTACCCATTATAGACAACCCACCTTTGCAGGAAAAGAACAGGTAGGAAAAAGGTGCGTGCCCGCGCACACACCCCTACCTGTTGGGGGAAGCCCAAGATGTTGTGGGCAAGAGTTGAAATTATTAGCTCTAAACTGGAACACTTGGAAGTTTCTGGCCATATCCTTATGGAAAAGAACAGGGCACTTTTTCAAGGCTTCTTTTAATCTTAGTAAAGAACAGGTTAGCCTATTTGTGAAGTCGTCTGTATATGAGTCAGATCTACCTCAGATACGACAAAAGAACTTAACTTGGGGTTCCTATTGAGCAAGTTTAAGAATTGAGCAAATAGTGTTCCAGAAATGATTAGTTGCTTTAAAACACGGAATAAACTGATGGGTCTGTATCAGGAACTTAGATCGCAAAAATAACTTATCAACATAACTTGTGGAAGCAAGAAGAAGCCCACCTGAGATGCCATGACAGGAAGAGGCCAGTCTTGACTCTTGTCTAGCAGCATGAAAGAAAATGAAAAGTTTCAGTAACAGGTGGAAATGCAAACTGACCACCTGAAAGCCCAATTATTCATCCCTCCAAGTTGAGGTTTCTGATGTCCAAATGCCTCAGAAAATGCCACAGAAAAGATGACAGTGCCAATGCCTGGCAAGCTGCTTTGGGGAAAGTGTTGCATAAATGTGGGGCTATCAAAGGCCATTCCAAACTGCTACCCCTTGGGCTTCTTTTGGAGGGGGAAAACCAAAAAGGAACCCCTGAAGCCAATTTTGGGGTTCAGGTAGGTTCTTATGGGGGAAAACAGTGTTGAGGCCCTAACCTTCATACGTTCAAAACAGCATTTTGAACCTGACCCAAAAACAAATTGCAACCAGTACAACTGGGCCAGAACCAGACTTGCATAGTCACATCACCTACTCCCAGTCTGCCAACCTAGTGAATACTATACTAGCTGCAGTATGCAAACTAAATTGTCTCTGAGGACCGACTACTGTACATGCATCGCTGCAATCTAACCTCGAGGTCACCAGAGTATGATGCAGGCTATCCCCATTCAGACGGGGTCACGACTGAGGTACTACCCAGAGCTAGTAGAAGGTCACTTAACATCATGGAGATCCAGGAGTACTCTCAACTAAGCACCTGCTCCTTCAGGGGAAGTGCCATCTCCCCCTGAGCTGGCTAACATAGGAAGCACCCTAACACTGTGTAAGACCATTGTCCATCTAGCCCAGTGTTGCCAACGCTCCCTGGCAGTGGCTTCCCAAGGTTCCAGGCAGAAGTCTCTCCTAGCCCTACCTGAGAGGCTGGCAATTGAACCTGGGACTTTCTGCATGCCAGGCGTCAGGTTCTGCTTCCCACTTCCTCTGCAGAAAAGCCCACAACTTTTCCCTCAATCAGCTTTTATAATGCAAAACTCAAAGATCAGCCAGCATTGCTTCAGGCTACATAACAGATCTTGCAGTCAGTAGAAAGAAAGTACTCAAGCAGAGTTTACACTGTAGATCAGTTTCCTAAGATAAAATGGCAGGAACGTTAATATAG